ACTTTCAAAAAACGCCGTTTGATTTTTGCGGATCTGTTCTGTAGTTTTGGAGATACGAGGGGGGGGGGGAATAGCACCCCCCACCCACGGTCGCGTTATAAACAGACCCCACCAGGGCGCGGGTTAAAAAGTGCGGCATTTGCGGTAGATTTTGCGTGCAAATAGCATATCCCACCACTGCTTCACAAAGATGTTTGTATAAAGTTTTAAAATCGCTAGATCTGCGCTGACGTCACAAAATCAGAGGGGGTATTCAAATGCATTAGCCCCCCTGAATCCAAAATGCTGCAACTTTGAAATTGAATATCTCCAAATTGAAGCGTTTCTCGATGTTGTGAGCGCCCAAACTGGTAAGTGCGAGCCAGGGACCCCATTTTGGCTATCTCAACTCAAAACTAATGGTGGGATGGTCACTTTGAGGTGGGATGGTCACTTTTACAGTTCCCAAGCCCCATGACTTAACCCAGACCACTGGTCAGAAACACTGGTCTCTGACCAGTGACCAATGCAAGATCACAAACTCTCATGAGCTGGTTCTGTCCAGATAGCTGCCCCGTCCCCAGAACCCCCCCCCCTTCCTAACCGACGACACGCCAACCGCACCATCCTGCCTGCGTCTAGAGGAGACGGCGGTGCCAGCCCGCGCCTATCTGACGCCCTTCCTGGCCAGTCGGCCGCAGTTGTCGTCACCCTTCCTGTGCCGGACGTGGCGGTGCAGATCAGCGCTTTCAGTGGAGCCCGGCCGGTATTCCAGTGTCCCTTCGCTGTCTTTTTTTCACACACACACACACGAACTTTATTGACAAACTACATACATGAGGTGCATCGAGTATGCATCACGGAGAGTTGGCGCAAAAGTCATGGGCTTATCTCGTGGCGCCAAATCTCAACCTATTCACTGTCTCCAATAGATCACTACCGCCGCCGCCGTGTCTCGGATTGTCTAGCGCAGCCAACCGCCCCCGCACGCCCAGCGAGGGGCGCAGGCCCACCAGGCTCATCGAACAGTACCTATAGGTGTTTAGTATTCACTGGTAAGTCTACCAGATTCCTGCCAGAATTTAAAGGGACCCTCCCACCTTCAAAAAAGTTTATGAATTGGCATGAAAGTGATGTCGCTCGGTTCAGAAAGAGCGAAAACGAATATCTACCAAATTTCACCGAAAAATATTCACCGGTTTTCAAGATATTTGACTTTTACTTTTGTTTACTTTTTTGGGATCTCCGCTGTTTCTAGCGACTTTATTTTAGAAGTGCGTCGTTTGCGGCAGATGTTGCGCGCAAATAGCAATATACCACCGCGTGCTACAAAACGTTTTAGTCAAACTTAATGACGGACGTTCGAAAGCCTGATGACGTCATCAGATTCCCGTAATGGTTAAGAGATAGGGACCACGCTGGTCCCACCCTGCAAGTAAAGGGAAGAAATTTCTTGAACACCATAAAGCTGCGGGGGTTGCGATCAGGATAAATGGTGGTTTCTGAGCCTGGCCGCAAACTTGGCTATCTCAACTCAAAACTAATGTTAAGGTGGAAGGGTCCCTTTAACGGGGTCGTGCCAGGCTGTCACTATATAACACTGCATCCAATGGCCACTATAGTCTGCTTTTATTAAAAAAGACTCTGGCTCCAAATGTGTTTTCCGAATAAGCACGCGATTTAGCCAGCAAAGTGGGCAAAAACTGAATCTGAGAAAATCAAACGTCGACTTATTTTAACAAGTGATTTCTTCCCGATAATTTCCATACGTACGTTTTGTGTAGCTAGATATTAGGACAGCGGTGATGTCATGCTAACGAACTTGCATTGCAATGCAGTGCATAACTACCTTCTAACCTCGGTTACAATGAAAACGAAATTTTCATCAATTTCGTTGACTTTTTGTGCCATTGTACGGACATTAGGTGCCAGCCGCCACCAGTGACGTCATCAAAGATTGCTCAGTTTTGAAGGTATAATTTCCATGCATTTACCGAGCATAATTTGAAATGGAATACTTTTTTCCATTTTTTTTTTTCGGTGAGAAATTCTTGGCCAGACACTGAAGCTGCCAACACTCAAGTGAGAGCTTCGATAATGAACTTGGAGCCAGAGTCCTTTTGAATAAAAACAGACTAGATATAATGCTATTATCGAAGGTTTCCATGTGATGATCCATTATAAATTCATATTACCTCAATGACACATGGCAGCGGGCCTTTTGTTTGGCATCGAAAGGTGTAGATAGAAATTAGAAAGTGTCGCGTAGGTACAGGTCTCGTGAGATTAAGCGGTAGGTTTTGCGCTTTTACATTTCCGGTTATTTCTCAGAAACTAATCGATCTACGATGAAGCCATTTTACACGATCATGGCCGGCTTGTTACCCAACAAGTCGATCGCATCTTCAACACTTAAAAGCTTAAGACGACCAAGATATAGCCTGAAGTACACTAAATTTTCTAGGTGCAAAGCCTACCATTAAAACCCGCGAGACCTGTACTTCTTATCGTCAATAGTATTTTTGCATCAATAAGTACAACAATAACAATAACTGTTCACTGAGCCCACCTCAATATGTGACATCATCAAACACCAGTTTGTACTTGGACAACGACATCGGTCACACTGTACAATATCTCATGTACAGTGTACACTTATTTACACGCCATGAACATCGTGAACATCGCCAATTTGTACATAGGTATACCTACATAATGATAATGGCAATGACCTAAAATGCATCCTTTTTGTAACTTCTGGCCCTTGTGGAAAGGTGATGATACAAACTATGTACATGTTTTCATTTTCTATTTCCAGTAACTACATAGCCGATTCATTTTCAACTTCTCCGAGATAACGAATCTCTGGTACTCGACTGTTCTCCAGTGACGCCTCCTCGGGGTGGTCCGCGACTCCGCTGATATCCTGAAACACAAACATATAACAGGTTATTTGGATATACCAAATATGAGCCTGAGGAGACCTAAACCACATGACAAACCTGATAGTTTCTCAGATCCGTGTTCCAGGGCTGCATTCCACATTAAGCCGCGCATGACGGGGGGGGGGATCTACGGAGCCCCCTTCCATTTTTCTGCAATATTTTCTGAGCCCCTGAACGCATCAGCACGAAACGTGCAGCACCTCCGGCTGCATCAGTTTGGCACCTTGTGTTAAATGAAAGTTTCGTAACTACCATAGGTCGGCCGAAAAAGACGTAAGAGTGACGTAATGTTGACCAATTTTGATACAAAGCATTGAACTACGGCAATCGTTCTCAAGAACTCAGTTATTAAGCCAGTCCAATTTCTTTGCATGGGAGGACTTAGAATTCAAGGCATTGCTATCTCGGATTTTCAAAATGTAAAAAAGTTGAAAATTTTACGCATAAAAACGCAAGAATTTGATTTTTAAATTCTTCCTTTACGTTTTTGACTTTTCGTAAAAAACGACATACATGTGATAGAACACATGCCGATGACTGATGATCTACTCTAGGAAGTTTTTGCCCAATATCTTCAAAACTAGCTGATTTATACGCTTTAGGTATAGTCAATGTTTCACCATTTTCAATTTTTAAATCAATACCTATTTCAGTACGTTTTTGACATTGCACTGCAAGATACCTTTGCACAGAAAAATACAGCAAGATACCGTTTTTGACATCGTAAAGTAATAAATAAATAGCACCATCGTGTTTCTGAGCTTTAAGTGCATCTGGTAAACACTTTTTGTTAATAATTTTAACTTCTAAGTTTAAACCTTTTTGACCTGAAGGTGACCTGAGCTCAGCTGGGTATATTCAGCTGAAAGTGACCTAAATAGCACAGACGACACTTTTTCGTGTCGCGAGACCGATACATGACATAACATTTCCGTGACCTAGGATGACCTGGGAATCATCTGAAAAATTTGAAGTAAAAGTTTGACATCCTCAGAGTATGTTTGGCATATACATACCAACGATTGTGTAAACCAAAAATGAGCCTAATCGGACTTGTAAGCCGGTGACAAGAGCCTAAATTATGAACAAGCCAAAATGCTCATAATTTTTACTTTGACCTGATCTGAGACGTCATCGGTATCCTGGAGGTCAATGAAATTAAGTTTGGTTCTATAGTTTTTCAGTGCTATCAGACGCCTTTTGAATTTTGACGATGGGCCCCGTAGTTTCGGAGATAGGAGGGCTCTGTAGAGCCCCCGGTCAGCCGTGCTATGGAAAATAGGTACCACAGTCATGCGCGGGTTAATTATTCTGATTTGATACGGAACACATAGAGCAGGCGCGGATACAAGGGGGGGGCCATGGGGGCCATGCCCCCCCCCCCCTTGGCCGATTTTTTTCAAAAATAAAATAAAAAGTTAAAAAGTTAAAAAGCTGAAAAGGGGGCCTCCTGAAAATAAAGTGGCCGAAATCCGATGAGTTTTTTTTTAACCTACCCACTTAGTTATTTCTTAGAAGACTAGCTGAGAAGACTTCTTTGTTAGAAGATTGGTAAAGCTTTTCATAGCTTGGAGGTCTCTTATACTCACAGAGATGACCACTTTTACAGGGCCTCCTAACCTGCACAGAGGGCCTCCAAGCCTGCACAGATGTTGAGATGTTGCCTGAACAGCTAGATAAGCTCAATAGACGCAGTTTTTTTTTGGGGGGGGGCCCAACAAGTGGGAAGATGGGGCCTCCAACAGGTGGGATTATGGGGGGGGGCCTCCTGGTTTCTAATGGCCCCTCCCTTGGAGATTTTCTGGATCCGCCCCTGACATAGAGGAATTTTCAAGTTGCAGAATTAACTCACGTTGGTCACTGTTCGTGGCGCCGCTCCTGGCTGTCCCGCCGACAGCCGAGGCGCCGCTCCAGATCCTTCCTCTCCTGCCGGTGACGTCTCCTCTGCTCCTCCAGCTCCTGGTTGTGCCGCTCCTGGAGCTGGATGAGCTGCTGGCGGTGTCTTCGCGTCGCCTCTATGAGATTCCGGAGGTGCTCAAGGTGCCGGCCTGGCTGCCGCTCCTGTTGTTGTTCTTGTTGTTGTTGGCGCTGCTCCTGCTGCTGCTGCTGCTGTTGTTGTTGTTGTTGTTGTTGTTGTTGTTGTTGTTGTTGTTATTGTTTCTGCTGCTGCTGCTTCTCCTCCTGCTTCTCCAAGTCTGGAATTAGAATAGGGGAGAGCGGGGAGAGTTGTATCATGTCCAAGTTGTATCAGGGCGAATTGTGCCAAACTTATCCAATAGATAGCGCTCGTGACACGACCAGCCGACGAGGTTTTCCGGGCGCCATCTTTCCCTGTTCTGTCGTGTGGCTGGGTAGACGCGTCTCGTGGTGAGAGCCGATTTTATGTTTTTTTTTTTTTAATGTCATTCTAAAAAAATAAGTTGCAAGAAAATGTGTGTTTTGGGCATTTAGATGTGCACGAATTTGAAAGATCTCCGTAGCGGTGGTGAGGGAGGTTCTAAGGCTGCGTGAGTGAAAATGGATTTCTCCAGCTCTGTCCGCTGTTTTTGAGCACGAGGATGTTTTTTCCAAAATGGCGGCGAGGTACATGTTGTATCAGAGCCGGGTGGGGTATGTTGTAACATGTATGTATGTATGTATGTATGTATGGGTATGTTGCTTTTGATCGCGAAACCTAAGCCCTGGCTCGCGTTTGTAGGTAGCTAGTCAATACTCGTTCCATTTCGGCACAATATGTTGACTTCTTTTCTCTTAAAGGTAGTGTGCCACCTTTGAAAGATTTCCCATTTTATTTTTCCTAGGATAAGAAGCTTCTGTTTTTACCTAATATCGCAAAAAAATCAAAAATGGGCCTGGAATAGTGCCTTTTTCGCCTAAAAGTTTATCGGTTTTTAGATATGTATAACAACTGTAGTGGGCTCACCTGCAAACAGGCGTCGGGCAACAATCGCGAATGCGGCGCACTTGTGACAATAAGCAAAGGTCATTATAGTGTTACGACCATACGACGTACGGGAATGAGTTATCAGCTGTCTAATCGTAGACAACACAATATCGAGCCTTAAACTGTAAGCCCGTATTGGTATTGTTTCTTTTATTTGGCTGTCGAACATTATTTATGGTTTGAAATATGATTTGATGTAAAATAATTGATATGATAAAGCCGTCTTATAAGTTATGACCCCATTTCACCACACGCAAGTGGCAGAAATGACAAGATCAGCTGACGCATTTTTCTTGGCCGAAGTCAGAGCGCGCAGCCCGACGCACCACCACCGCACCACAAAGTATGAGCAGAAGCCGCGCCCAAAGCCAGGGCCCCGGTAACGTGAGGTAGCCGAGTCGGCGGCCCCGGGCTATCACATGACACCGGGAGGACGCGCGGCTCCGGCTTGGGTCAGCGCACGCTGCCCCGACTCGGCTACCTCACGTTACCGGGGCCCTGGCTTTGGGCGTGGTCTACCGCACCACCTAACGAGAGTGTTCGAAACCGCAGGAGCTGATGATGAACGGGTTTATCGAAACTTGATTGGATGAGCATATCGGTAATAGCGATTTCAGTGTGTGCATTTATTGTTCATAGTGGTGTGAAATGTGGTTGGGGTACGACCGACAACCCGTCGGGGCGAATTTCGCACTGGGGTACTCAAAATTTGAAGAATTTAAGACGTTTCCATGAGTTTTGAAGGTATGGATAAGTTCTAAAAATCCGGTTCTCCTTATCTGGGCCATTAACTCCATACGGTCCAAGAAAGCTGGCACACTACCTTTAAAGGAAAAGGGCCACCTTTAACATGGGGATTGAAACTGAGATAGCCATCTTGTAGCCCGTGTCCGAAAACCTATCTGTCAACCTCCTTACGGCCGATTTCGGCCTCCATTCGTAGTTATCGGCAATTTTAAAAGAAAATACGCCAGGAATGCGTCCTTATCCCAGGAATGCGTTCTTATCCGACAATACAGCCACCCGCGGCGAGGCTTTGGTTTTTTACCAATCAGCTCCAACCAGCTCAGCTTTAACCAATCAGCTTATCTGACACAATCCGACGAGTCTGTCTTCTGAACGCTGATTGGCTTGAGTGTGACGTCATCGCTATGCCATCATACAGTAGGTGCCGTAGAGAGTATCAACATAGTACCAATATGTTAAATAGTTTTAAATACTTTTTCGCGAATTGTGCACTTCTGGCACCAGTTTTAAAAAGAAAATGAAAAATAATAATGTCAAAATGAAAAACAACGATATCTTCATATTTCACGAAGGTGGCCCTTTTCCTTTAACGGGCCACTTTTGCGTCTAGTCTGTTGATGTTTCGTTCGGATTGCATTGACCTAAGTTTGGTCTAATAAAAGTGAAGCCTTTGAGCATACACCTACATTGTATTAACCCGATTTAATGTTGTTGTTATGTTCAAAACCAGTAGCAAGCACACTGACTGAAACGTGAAATAGTGATACAAATTACCCCACCATGTGATACAACTCACCCAAGCCATGGGGCAAGTTGTATCAAAAAACATTGTTCTATTCGGCAGACCGTAGAAGAAAAACTGGTAGAGGTAGCGGAAAAGTTACTTTGCACAAACAAGCAGAAGAATCAAGAAAGGGGATAGTATGGAAATGAGTTTATCACGGATAGTTACGAGGTTATGGGTCTCGGAGTAAAAACTGATACAACCCACCCCGGTAGAAACAATATAATATAATTGGAGTGGACAAAAATTAGACCTGGAATGATCAGGGAGGAGAAATTGTACCCAGCTTTTCGAAGTGACTGACACGACCTCTTTGGTAGTTTATATGCCGTTAAGCACAACCAGAGCATGTAGCTATAAACTCTAAGAGCTCGGTCGTGTTCTTTGAATGACATTACGACACTGAATATACTCGCTCATCTAAATCTTTAACCTTACCTCGCACAAGTGCCTCTTTCTTCTCTAGATCCCTTCTCAGCTCCTGGTCCAGATCCTTTTCCAGCTCCTCCCTGAGCTGCTGACGCCTCCTGCTGCACTCCTCCATCAGCCGATCCAGCTCCTCCCCTGTCCGGATGTTCGGGTATCTCTCCTCCAGCTCCTGTGTTTCTCGTCGGTGCTTCTCCTTCATTTGGTTCCACTGCTCTTGGACCTCCTGCTCCAGGTCATCCCACTCCATTTGGTGCTGTCGATCCAACCCTTCACACTGCCTTCGGTCTCTCCGATTCAGCAGCTCCATTTGCTTTTGACATTTCTCTTCAAGGAACTGCGCCTGTCCCTCGGTCTGTAGCTCCACGCATCTGACAGCACTGTTGTGTAGCTGATGGAGCTTTTTCAGCTCGTCATGATGCCGCTTTTCCATTCTCCGCCACTTCCTGTCCTGATCCCGCTCCAGACGCCGGCGCTCCTCATCATGTTGCTCGTTCAGACTCCTCCTCTCCCCGTAGCCCCGCGGCTCCAGCTCCTGCCACAGCTGCTGATGCTGTCGCTCCAGCTGCTGCCATTTCTCTCGCTGAGTTCGAGGCAGGCCCTCCGATGTCTGCTCCTCGTCTGCGTCGCGCTGCTGCTCGTCACCGGCCTCTCCACCGTCGTCATCCCGCTCCGAGTCTGAAACACATCATGTGAGGCGAAGTTAACCTGCGACCTGATGAGGTCTCTCAGCAAGCTACGTCATAATGGGGGGTGGGGAGCTTTTTTGGTTACAGCCGATTATCTATAAAGAAAACCACGATAGCTAGAACGACGCGGAAAAGGAGCACAAGCTCACATTAAGATCTTCCAGAATTATCCAGGCCTAATTCTTGACCCAAAAAAGATGTACCCCGCTATCGTTAACCCGGCTCCGCGCGGTGGGGAGGGGGCATTTTTTGCCCCCCCCCCCTCCTCGTATCTCCGAAACTGCTGGAGCTGGACAGATCCGTAAAATTCAAACGGAGTTCGATAGCCCTATCAGATTTGTCGAGAGAATTCCGATTTCATTGACCTCGGGGTCACCGATGACGCCACAGGTCAGGTCAAAGATAAAATGTTTCACCGTTCACGGGCCTTCAAGGGAATGCGCTATAGCATCGAGCAAAACGCATTTTGTCGAAAATCAGCGATAGGGCGTCAGTTGCCTAGTACATAAGTTGCTAAGTCACTGATAATACCAGGTTAGGTCACAGGTCAGGTCACCAATAGTCAGCACATGAACCCAACTTTACTATAGGGCTGTGCGATGCATGTTTTATGGCCAATTTTTCAATTCCAACTGAATGGTGTTGGTATACCAACACTTATTATAATAAGACCATCAGGTACGGTTTAGGTCACTTCTGGTAAGGTCAGGTCAAGGTCAGGTCAAATTAGGTCAAATTTCAAAGTTGATATTTTTGCATAAAAAGGGTATCGATTCGATGCAGCTCGTCACGGGGAGTCTAGTGGTGGTCTTTGTTTTGCGGTACGTGGTCTATAATTGCTAAAAATTGAGTTGGAAAATTTGACGTCATCATTTTTGAACAGTTTTTGTTTTCGCTATAACTTGGCCAAAAAAGAGGCATCGATCTGAAATTTTATATGTGGATAGAAGCCGGTGGTTACTATCATATATATTCCGTTCTTACGAAATTCAATTTTTTTTGGATTTTTTGGATAATATATCCAATAAATTAGGTACCTACGTTTCGATTTTCGGTGGTCAAAATCCAAAAATTTAACAAAAATCCGAAATAGCAGTTGTATAGCTCTATTAATTACGGAGCGAGCGAAGCGAGCGAAGTCTTTCCTTAGATTAACGGAAATTTCTGAGTATGAGCGGCCGGCCGGCCGGCCGTGCGGACGCTTTTGCGAGGCTTATATCTCAGCAACCACTTGACCGATTTACACGCGGTAATTTTTGTAGGGTAGCTTCATTCCTTCTACCAAGTATTGGACTATTCTCGATGCATATAGGTGACCCCTTATGCACGTGCCACGTGCAAAACGAAGAGGTGTCAGTTTTGTAATTGTTGCAATATCTCGGTAACTACTTGGCCGATTGCGCTGAAAGTTGGCATGTAGGTAGGCACCCACTAGGCACTGCATATCCATGTGCCGGAGTTGGGGCGCTGCTGCACGTGCGCACGTGCAGGGGTCGTTTCCAGATCTCGAGAACGGCTGGACCGATGGCGCTCAAATTTGGTACACGGTTAGGGACCAGTTAGTAGGGTGCCGTGCACAAGTCAGTTGGGACCCATTTTGCACGTGCGCACGTGCAGGGTGCCGCTCCCAGATCTCGAGAACGGCTGGGCCGATTGTGCTCAAATTTGGCACATCGCTAGAAACCGGTCAGTAGGGTGCCGTGAACAAGTCAGTTGGAGGTACCCCCTCGAAATTTCGCACGTGCAAGACTCACCCCCTCGCTCGCTCCGTTAGTCGCCCCAAAAGGCGCTATACTGGTTACGGAGCGAGCGAAGCGAGCGTAACCGAAGGTTTGTTGTCAATAGTTAAAACACTATTCTTTAGAATTGTGTTTTTATATTGAAAAACAAATCTGAGTTCCCTGACAATTTGGCAAAAGCTGCCTGAGATCAGTACAACTTGATGCTCTTGAAAACGGCTGCTCCAAAAATTCTGATTTTTTCAGGATTTCTAGTGGGCCAGGTGATCTACGTTCTGGTATGGGTCTCCCCTCCGCGGACCATCTGGTGCACGTGCCACGTGACTTTGAAAATTCCCGTGTTAAGCCAATGGGCAAAATGAAAAAAATGCGTTCCACGGCAGATTGCTCGAAAACGATCCAAACGACCCCCCATTTTCTTCCATGCAGATCAACCACTATTCGGTGCACTATCCATGGGTATGTCGCAAAGTGGCCGGAAAAGTCCAGAACCACGTGCCACGTGCCGTTGAAAATGACCCTGCACACCGGAAATTGGGACTTTTGGTCATTTCGGCGCACCCATGATGCATACTATGGCGTGGGTGACCAAACAATGGGTGTCATCCGGTCGGCAACTGTTTAAGGTGTCGTCCAGTGGGCCAAAGTGGTAGTTTCAAACTTTTGGGATCCACCATTCTGGGGATTCTTTTTGACAATATAGGTACTTGCGTTTCTTGGCGCAATGTTCATTCCACCCAGCCGGTCGTCAATGCGTTAGGTGACCCAAATGACGATTGACCTGAAGGAAGTTGGGGACGAGGAACACGCACGTGCCATCCGTTTTTTAATCGGGCGCTTTCATCTAGGAGATTTTTTGCAGATATCTTTTTGATTTGTGAAAATGACCAGCCTATTGTTTTTTTTGCGGTGTTTGTCTTTGGCGGCGGGCGGGCGGGCGGGCGATGCGGGCGGTTTTTTTTTTGCGTCGTTTGCGGTGTTAAATTTGTTTGCGGTTGGCGGCCGCTTTTTCGTTTTTTTGCGGTGTTTTTTGGCGGCGGGCGGGCGATTTTTAGGCGTTTTCGGTTGGCGGTTAGCGGGCGTGCGATGCGGGTGGTTTCATTGTTTTGCGGCGTTTTTGCGTTTTTTTTATTTGCGGTTTGCGGCGGGCGGGCGTTTGATTATTTTTTGCGACCTTTGCGTTGGCGTTTCGGGCGTGCGTTTTGCGCGTTTTGCGGTGTTTGCGTTTTGCGGCGGGCGGGCGTTTTTCACAATTCAATGTTCAAACCTTCGGGCCACAGCGCTCCTCGAAAAGCGCTGCCCTCGAGTAGTCTTTCCTTAGATTAACGGAAATTTCTGAGTATGAGCGGCCGGCCGGCCGTGCGGACGCTTTTGCGAGGCTTATATCTCAGCAACCACTTGACCGATTTACACGCGGTAATTTTTGTAGGGTAGCTTCATTCCTACTACCAAATATTGGACTATTCCCGATGCATGTGGGTGACCCCTTATGCACGTGCCACGTGCAAAACGAAGAGGTGTCAGTTTTGTAATTGTTGCAATATCTCGGTAACTACGTGGCCGATTGCGCTGAAAGTTGGCGTGTAGGTAGGCATCCATTAGGCACTGCATATCCATGTGCCAGAGTTGGGGTGCTGCTGGACGTGCGCACGTGCAAGGGTCGTTTCCAGATCTCGAGAACGGCTGGACCGATGGCGCTCAAATCTGGTACACGGTTAGGGACAGAGCCTATTTTAAGGGAATTTGACTGGGGGGGGGGGGGGGCAACCTGGAAAATTGTCTTTAATAATCCATTAACCCTCGCCCGTATTGGTGTTTCCAGTAGCGAGCGTATAGGGGGGGGGGGGTCCGTTGGACCCTCCCCCTTGCCGTTTCGCCCCTGATCGAGCTAGAGCTTCGCGGAAAAAACGACCGTGTTGCCCGTGATGAAAGGAAGCCGATTATACCCAATTTTAAGGTCCTAGGTCAGTGGTCGGCAGGTCATTCGGGGTCGTGCCCCCTTTTTGGGCGCCAGGCAGGGCCATTACCCCCACCTACCAGACCCCATTGCTGACACAACTAAGTTTACTGAAATTCCATACCGTCCTGGAACTCTGGGTATTTGTGCATTTCCAATGCATCAAATTTAAAACATGACACTTCCTCCACAAAACATTTAATGCCTATATCCCAGTAGCGGCGGAACACCTTCAATTAAGGGGGAGGGGGAGCACTGCCGACTTTTGGTCCCATTCTTTCCATGCAACGCCCATAGGGCTAATGTTAAAATGCAAAAATCAAAGGGTGCACGGTGCCCCGGTGCCCTCCCCGTTCCGCCGCCTATGCTATATCCCATTTAACCCTTGTACGATATAGGGGCGGCGGGTGGTTTTTCGTTAAAAGCTCACGTAAAAGGCATTGGATCACGACCAAATTGTACCATCCAGCCCATCATTTTTTTTTTCACCAGCCCGGAAAATATCATGACCTGAGACCAGTTTTACCAACAGAAAAATAACCGCCTGCCGGGATTTTTGCCTCAAGACCGCTTCACATACGGAGCGTAAACGCGTTGGGCTCGTAAGCGGCTTTACCGTTTACGCTCCATATGTGAAACGATCTTTAGGCAAAAATTCCGGCAGGCGGCTATTTTTCTGTTGGTAAAACTGGCCTCTGGACCCCTAATGACCGTTGGCTTATGAGCTTTTTCTGGAGATCATCTTGAGCTATAAAAGCTCACTTCAAGAAGTTATAGCGGGTCCCGATTTTCTCGACACTTATCATTGCCCTCTTGAATGAGACGGAATGACCAAGGACCTTAAAAATGGGCAGCAGCGGCTTCCTATGGTCACGGGTAGCACGCTCGTCTTTTTTATGCACAGCTCCATATCAGAGTCCGAGAGGCCGCGGGGGTCCGATCGACTCCTCCCCCTTACGTTAGCGGCTGTTGAAACGCCAACAGACGGGCGACGGTTAAAAGTTGCAGCTGCTTTTGAACGACTGTACGGAGGGGTGAGATGGTGAGGCGAGCAGGTACGTGAAAATTGGTATCTAATCAATGTGTGCTGTGCCTTTGGCCTGGGCTAATCTTTGAACCCTGGGATGCAACAGTCACGATGGCTCCATCACTGGAGCTACAAACTCTAAAAAGATAGGCTTTCTCAGAATCCCTCATAGTCATTACCCCCACCGAAAGGGCTCCATTACCCCCAAAGGGGGCATGCCCCACCATTTGCCGACCCCTGTCCTAGGTCATCGGTTGACCTTCCAGGTCAGGTCATTGACCCAAAAGTCGGGAAAATCGGGACCTGTTAGAGCGTCGTAAAGAGTGGCTGCTATGGTTTTTCGGGGTGCTGATCACGAATATCATGTTAGTTATGATCATAGATGATGTTTTCATGCATTTAGGCCAGGTCAGGTCAGGTCAGGTCAACCAGTAAGGGTTTTGCCGGGTATTCGTAGTAGGTGGCAACCGCCTCTGACAGCTTCGGAACATGTTACGAAGGCACCAAAACTACTTCGTAAATGGTCAAATGGTTGCTTGATTCGAATTCAGCTCCAAAAAAACTAGCCTAGAAACATATAAAACTCGAAAATGTGAACCGAGGTCATCAAAGGTAAATGATCTGACCTGACCTTCCGGTGATCTTGACACCCACCCTAATGCATGGGAGCAACATCATATCCCATGTTTGAACGTTTGAAACCACGAAAAGACTGCAAACGCGCGGCTAATGCGAGGCGACATACGCCGAATCGCGACCTCGGCCAAACATGGTGCCATGGTGCTAGGCCGCCGGTGCATCTGAAAGAACTGTGGTGCCCCTGACAAGCCTGAAGTTCCAACGACAGGCCCGTGGTGCCCCTGACAGGCCCATGATGCCTTTGCGAGGCCGGTGGTGTCCACGTGAGGCCGGTGGTGCCCCTGGGCCCTGACAGGACTGTGGTGCTCCTGACAAGCCTGGAGTGTCCCCGACAGGCACGTGGTGCCACTAACAGGCCCAAGGTGTCCCAGTCCCTGCGAGGCCGGTGGTGTCCCTGCCAGGCATGTGGTGTCCATACTAGGCCTCTGGTGCCCCTGACAGGTCCGTGGCGCCCTTGCTAGGCCTATGGTGCCTCTGGCAGGCCTATGGTGCCCCTGGCGGGCCTGTGGTGGTACCCCTGACAGGCCCAAGGTGGTGCCCCTGCGAGGCCGGTGGGGCCCCTGGCAGGTCTGTGGTGCCCCTGGCAGACCTATGGTGCTCTTGCTAGGTTGATGGTGCTCCCAACAGGCCTGTGGTGCCCCTGACAGGCCGGTGGTGCCCCTGGCAGGCCTGTGGTGTCCCCGGGCCCCAAGAGGGTGGGGGGGGGGTCATGACCCATATGACCCACCCTTAGATACACCACTGGTCATTACTTACAGACTGACTCATTTGACATCCATTGCAAAACAAGTCACAGTAGTTACGTAGTATGTTTGTCACCCTGTTCCTTTATGCCCATTTTTATAGTGGGCAAATCTCGACGACTAGGGGGGCAATTCTGTTGAGTGCGGGGGCATTTGCCCCCCCCCCCCAGTTAACATGTTAAAATAGGCCCTGGTTAGGGACCAGTTAGTAGGGTGCCGTGCACAAGTCAGTTGGGGCCCATTTTGCACGTGCGCACGTGCAGGGTGCCGCTTCCAGATCTCGAGAACGGCTGGGCCGATTGTGCTCAAATTTGGCACATCGCTAGAGACCGGTTAGTAAGGTGCCATGCACAAGTCAGTTGGAGGTACCCCCTCGAAATTTCGCACGTGCAGGGTCCACCCTCTCGCTCGCTCCGTTAGTCGCCCCAAAAGGCGTTATACTGGTGCAACACCTTTTATGTTTCGAACATTTTTCTGTATCTGACATTTTTCTGTCAGCTGTGGGCCTGACAGCTCTTCTCGCGAAACCTTTTTTGGGTCGAAAATGGCAGAACATGACGTCACTCCGACGTCATTAGCGGCCAACCTATCATACCTAGCCTTTGGAAAATCTTTTGGGCACAATGTGTAAAAGCTATCGGGGCTCGGGAGGGTTCTGAAAGTTAGGTGACGATCTGCGCAGCGAATCTGGAAATATATCGAAAAAACGGGGGGGGCAAAAAATGCCCCCCCACACCGCCTGGAAGGTTAAGGCCCGTTCAATAGTTGTTACGACGTACGAGCGAGCGCGAAGCGCGATCCGGCCTTCTGGCCGGATAGTTTACATATGGTTTGTTGCAAGCTTATATCTCCGTTCGTGATGCTGCAAAAGATGCCAATGGTGCTAAACAATTTACAAAATGATCCCCTCTAAATATTTGAAGACCACTGCATCGACATCATCGCAAAATAAACGAGCTAGAGCCTCGTCAAAAATGCTATGTAAACGCGACTAATGTCTCTGTATCGGAATTCCACTATCTGACAACGAGCCAGCATATACATATTGTCAGCAGATCTAGCCGGATCACTTCATGTAGGTACAGCACCGCGTTAGTCGGGCTCGTGGAGCATTCTACGGACTGACTCCATTCTACGGACTGACTCCATTCTACGAACTGACTCCATTTTACGGACTAACTCCTGCTGGAATGCTCAGTGACTGCCTGTCGCCTTCAGATAAAGTCTTTCTTTGGAAAACTGTGGTCATCCCTGCCCTAACTTTCGGATGAACAGTCCCCCTTTGCTCGTGTGATGTTGACGATCTGGATGGCCTGCAATCTCGGTGCATAAAAGGTGCCCTCGGATTATCTATAAATACGTTCGTCATTCTGCTTTGCTTGTAGCTTTAGTTATCCCGAGAATACATGAACGGCTGAAACGAGCGGTGCTGGTAGCCTTATCGGATATTCTCTTAAGGACATGATGTGGAGTTCGTTAATGTAATAACTATAATAATAAGTGAATAAGTGAATGAGGACTTTACTCCACAAGAAATCGTTCGGGTCGGAGCTTTCGAATTGTATTTACAAAACTTCGTCAGCGAGTCGTAATCGGGTTCGGGGGGTATCGGTCGCGACCTATAGTATTCTATATCGGTATTCTAATTTTTATATATAATAATATAATAAGTATAGTTTTCTAATTTTTGAAGACACAATTTCCATGTATCTACTGGTACCTATTTACCAAGCACAATTTGAAATCCAATATTTCTACGGTAAGAAATTCTTAGCCAGATGCCGAAGCAGCCAAAACTCAGGTGAGAACTTCTATACCTAATGAACTTGGAGTCAAACACTTTTTTTAAATTTTAGATTTTACACATAATATTTAGTAGCAAATTTAGTCAAGTATTTTTTTTTTTGTTTTAGACATTTTTACATTTGGGTAAATAACGCATTTTTCAAATTACATTTTGCAATGTGCAATATCAGAAACAGTACCTAGTCTAGTGAACATTTAACACTATGCGACAGATTTTCTTTCTATTCACAACATATATTTTCGGGTAATGGGTATTCTGCCGCTAAGTTTACTCTTCTTCTTACAATTGAGCTCTGGTGTATTGCCGCCACCTCAGGGTCGGCACTGGGAGGCACTTCACATACGTCCTTCAGTGAAAAAGGTCGTGGCTACTGGCTTCTTACCTTGTGAGTCGGTCTCGTTCACCGCCAGGTAGTAGGGCGTCATCTCCCATCGGTCCGGCCACCAGCCGACGGCAGCTTCATAAGCCGTCCGTAGCCGGTCACCGGACAGCAGCTGCTGCAGCCGGCGGCGCCAGAGGCCGGCCGTGGCGGCCACAGACGCGGCGTCCATATCTGGCAGTAGGCTATGAAGGTATTCATTCAGGTTAGTGTTGAAGAACAGCTCTAGCTTCTCCCTGGTCTCCTGGTGGGTACGCATTAGTCGGTAATTCCTCATCCACCCGTTCCTCACCACCCGGTCTATTTGCTTCCACTGGTCCATTTTAACCGGCGCGTTCACGTCCACAGCCTGCAGCAGCAGCTCAGGCCGCAGCAGCAGCTCGGCACGGCCCCGCGGCGTGTCCAGCTCGGCGGTCAGTCCGGCTGGCCGTTCCTCCAGCGGCCGCCGCAGCTGCTGACTGCACCATGTGGCCACCTTGTCCGAGTCACCCAGCAGGAACTCCAGGTCAGGCCTGGTGAGGAGATTTGTCAGTGGCGTCACGTCCAACGTGACGCTTTCACTGGCCGATGACGTCACCGGCGCCCCGCTCACCAGGTCTGCCGGGTCGACTACGGCCCATGCCATGAACAGGTAGCACTGCTGCCGAAATGTTCCTGAGTCCTTGTAGTGGTACCACTGTAGTAGAAGTGGAGCTGTGCGGACTAGCGGAGGGACGGCCTGCTCCCACCAGATCTCCCAGCACGGAGCCGTGGGGCGGACACGGACAATCTCAACCACAGCCTGTCGGACGAGCGTCCGTCCGAGACGGAGCCGCAGCTCTCGCTCTGAGGGCGGCTCCGTACCGCCCTGCAGCAGCAGGTCCACGTACCACTCATCCTGACACACGGCCATCAGAAGGAGCGTGGCGTGCTCCCTCATTAGCCTTAGTGTGTCGATGATAGCCTGTCGCTGGCCTGGAGTGAGTTCAGCGGCCACATCGATGTTGTGATCGAAAAAACAAGGCAGTCTTCCAGCGGCGATGCTTGTCTCCAGCCAGTCCAGTATTTTGTGGACACCGTCAGTGATGCCCGTCCACATATCAACGGGCGTGATTTGGGCTAGCCAAAGTCCCGCTGTCTTTATATAGTATGACTTCAATGGCACGTCCTCGTCGGGCTCGTTCACCACCTCGTTCTTTTTCAAGACACCTTTCATTGATTTCACAGCCATGATAGCCGCTCGTATCACTGGCGCGAGGTGGCGGACAGCGACGACTTCAGCCCGTGAGTGGGAAATACGGAACTCGATAAACTCGGTGTCACTGCCGGGCCGGCCGGTCGGTACCAGGTGTACCCCGAATCGACGGATGTCATCTCGTGCCGCTGCTGGTGGAAAGTCGGCCTCCAGGTGACATCCGTCGAGCCGGTCGTCTGCCGGCCACCACCCACGCACAAAGATGCAGGGCACATAGTCAATGCCTCCGGCTGTAACATCATTTATATTTTTGATGTTGACCGCCGGTCCGGCGGTGTCGATCTTGTTTCCTAGTACTGTCGTCCACGCGTCCTGCTGGCGAACCGAAACAGCGGCCTTGCCTCCCATTACTGTACACACGTCCCGCATGAGCCGGCGAACGGAATCGGCCGGCAGGGCCTCCAGCGGCTTCTCATGACAGCACGCTCTCGTCCTGACCCAATGGAGCGTTACGAAGCCATGGTTTTTGGTCGGTCGGGCCCACAGCTCTGGTGCAGACTGTGGACTAATAACGGCCGGCTCCTCTCTCTTTCCGAGCGCCGCCCAGCGGAAGGGACCGTCGAACTCGAACATCAGATCAAAATCAGACATCCCCCCTCGGCCGATTGACTCGTCCGACAGTCCCTCGGCACTGCTGCCCGATGGATTGATGGAAGTTATCCTGAGGGGCTGGTCGGGCTGGCAGTGCCGACACCGGGCGGCGGCGGCGTCATTAACATCCTGCAGGGCCGCCATGAGCGGCTCAAGCACCAGCCAGCTGACAGCGTGTTTCACTTCACTTGCTGTACAGTACCCTTGCCGCCCTGTAGAGTGGTTGTTCCTGATGTCATCTGCCAGCAGCAGCGTGTCTGGGATCAGGTGTGCACTCGATCCGTACTTTTGGACTAACCTTTTCGCTCTAGAATCAAGTCCCCTATGCAGTCTCTCGATCCTCTCCGCTCTCCGCGCACCAAACACACCGGGTCGGGACATGGCTGCTGGCTGCTCTGACACGGACTGACTGATGTCGGCCGACGCCGCTGTAGATATACCCATCCAACCCGCAGGGAGCCGAGATAAGAGCGAACACTGGTCGTCTCCGTCCGGTGACAGTGACTGACTCATTGCAGTGGTGAAATCGATGATAACGCTACTTTTGTTGACAGAGAGACAAAGTTCCTAATCGTTCAATTTTCTCGCGGAGGTTGCAGCATTTAAGTATAATCTGAATGCATCCAGACCCTAAAACCTACACTAAACCGTAAATTAAAAGCAAATAACCAAACATGTTGCATCAGTTTTTTATCCTCAATGTTACATTCAACTTAGAATGTAACAAACGTGTTACATCCAACAGACCCTGTGGGTCTGTTGGACTCTCCTGGCCGTTTGGCCCCTTATTGAGCTAGAGCTTCGCGGAAAAAGCGAGCGTGTTGACCGTGACGACTGGAAGCCGATGATTACCCAATTTTAAGGTCCTAGGTCATTGGCTGACCTTCCAGGTCAGGTCAATGACCCAAAAGTCGGGAAAATCGGGACCTGCTAGAACTTCGTAAAGTGAATCTGTTGTTTTTTCGGGGTGATCACGAATTTCATGTTAGTTTTGATCATAGTTGATGTCTTTATGCATTTAGGCCAAGTCGGGTCAGGTCAGGTCAGGTCGACCAGTAGGCGTCCTGACGTCTATCCATAGTAGGTGTCAGCTACCACTGACGGCGTTGTAACATGTTACGAAGGCACTAAAACTACTTCGTAAATGTTCAAATGGACGCTAAGTTCGAAATCAGCTCGAAAAACTACCGTAGAAACATGTACAACTCGAAAAGTGAACAGAGGTCATCAAAGGTCAATGACCTGACCTGACCTTCTGGTGAATTTGACACCCACCGTAATGCGTGGGGCGAACATCATTTTACATGTTTGGACGTTCATAATTACAAAAAGACTGGAAACGCACGGATAATGTGAGTAGAGTCGCAGACATATGCTAAATTGCGATTCCGGCCGAACATGGTCTCGAGAATCAGGTCACAGGTCAAAGGTCATTTGGGTCAGGGTCATGACATTTTTAGGGTAGGTGCAAAATTGATCAACTCGAGGGTATTAAAAGGTTCGTCGCGATCGGCTGTTTTTTGCGCGAGTTATTTGCGAAAAACCATGGTCCATGGGTGAGGGGGTTCATCCGACCTCCCCTACACATGCGGGGGTTCACAAACATTAGGGTGGCCGCTTTGCCCCGGTCCCCCCACACATAACAAACTTTCGGGGCCATGTAGGCCAGTGGCGCGACGTGAGTTACGCGTATGTCTCGGACGAGACAGCAAAATCGGAGTAATTCAGTTCGGCGACATTTATTTTTCGCCTAATAGGTATATCATTATTTGGCTATTGTTTCAGGCTACTGGAGCAGCATAAGCAATGTAGCAGCAAGCGCCACTCCACTCATGCCTCAGAGTGGACCACAATCCGTGTCTGCCTACCTGCAGAGCAATATTATGCACCATGCGAAAACAGCAACAAATAGACGCTGAAACTAAACATAACGAAGCCTATTGAGTGTGGCACACTCTTTGCTGAAGTATGCAACACATAAGATGTGGATTGTGGCATGGTATCGATCAGTTTTTCAAACGGTTGCCGCTTCGTATTTCGGCAACGTAATGTGTTCCGAGTTTGTCGCATGGTACCGATCAGTTTTTCAAACGGTTGCCGCTTCGTATCTCGGCAATGTAATGTGTCCCGAGTTCCTACCAGTAGTGTCACACAGTTTTAATATAAGACCGCAGACATGACATCATGTACAATGTACATCATGTAGCACATCACTGCTCCAGCGCGTCACACAGCACTTGTAACAGAACATACCAGCCTCATCATCAGTGCAACACTATTTGACTTCAGACTTTGACTTGTCGTCGTTGATCTTTTTCTCGAACTTTTTGAATTCGTCCTCGATAACTTCGTCCGCCTCGTCCATGACTTGTTCCACCGAGACCACCTGTAACATCAGACACACTATATCAGACACAAACCGTAATAACTTCGTCCGCCTCGTACATAAACTGTTCCACCGAGACCACCTGTGACATCAGACACACTATATCAGACACAAACCGTAATAACTTCGTCCGCCTCGTACATAAACTGTTCCACCGAGACCACCTGTGACATCAGACACACTATATCAGACACAAACCGTAACAGCTTCGTCCGCCTCGTCCATAAACTGTTCCACCGAGACCACCTGTAACATCAGACACACTATATCAGACACAAACCGTAATAACTTCGTCCGCCTCGTACATAAACTGTTCCACCGAGACCACCTGTGACATCAGACACACTATATCAGACACAAACCGTAATAACTTCGTCCGCCTCGTACATAAACTGTTCCACCGAGACCACCTGTGACATCAGACACACTATATCAGACACAAACCGTAACAGCTTCGTCCGCCTCGTCCATAAACTGTTCCACCGAGACCACCTGTAACATCAGACACACTATATCAGACACAAACCGTAACAACTTCGTCCGCCTCGTACATAAACTGTTCCATAGAGCCAGCCTGTAACATCAGACACACTACAGGGTGTCCGAAAATTGATTGCGCACTGTCCATATTCACGTATCTCGCACGTGCTCCCGCCAAACCGGTTAGAGAGGTTCGTCCGCCTCGTACATATCTTGTTCCACCGAGACAACCTGTGACACTGGAGGATATGACATCGGACACACAACTGACACAACATTTCGGATACTGACATCAGACACACAACAACTGACACAGCATTCCAGATACTGACACCGGACACACAACAACTGACACAACATTCCGGATACTGACATCAGACACACAACAACTGACACGACATTCCGGATACTAACATCGGACCGTGGACACACATTGGCCGATAGCGGGCACCGAGAGACGAGCTCCACTGGGGGCCGCCTCTCGCCAGTCCCAGTGGCCTGACTGTCAGCCCGGAACGGCGAAATGTGAAACAAATCATAAGGAGTCGGTACTTGGTCCCAGAGGCAGATGGAGAACCGATTGGGCTAATACCGAGGGTAAAGAGATACTATACTATTGGAGCCATACGGGTGGAGAAGACGGATGCACCGTCCCAGCCGTTGCCTTCGCTCCGCCGCCCTCCCCGGCCCACCCTCCCCCACCCGTTCCGCACCTCGGGCACGTAGAACTGCAGCATGTTCTGGACGCCGTTCTTCAGCGTCACCACCGAGCTGGGACAGCTGGTGCACGAGCCCTGCATCTTCAGACGCACCACGCCGTCCTCGAAGCCCATGAAGACGATGTCGCCGCCGTCCTCCTGGACCGTGGGACGGATACGTGTGTCTAGCAGTTCGCGGATCATGGCCACCACCTCGTCCTCGTCGCTGCTCTCCGCGCCATCTGTTGGAGAAAAAATACAACTATAGATGCACGGAGACGCCGACAGGCCGGGCGGGCAGAGGCTGAGCGTGACGATATGATGATTGACGTCGGAAATATATATAGTATCCCGTTGTGGTATGATTCATGTAGCTTTACAGCTTTACTATCTCCAAAATATCATGGTTAATTCATAACGTTATAAAACCCGAGAACGGTAGGTACCCAGTGACGTCATCTCGCCTTCCCAAAAAGTAACCCACTGACGTCATCACACCTTGGCGTCCGTCGGCGGCGTCGTAGGCGGCCTGGTGTACGACGGGCAGTCCCGACGTGAAAAAATCCATCATGGTGGCGAAAATCTCCGGCTTGATGACCTTCCACTCCACCTCGTCGTCAATCTGACCACCGAGAGGGAGGGCAGGGTGGGTGTGAGTACGGAGACGGAGACACACAGGGAGACGGAATACACAGAGGGAGTCTGAGACGGGACATAGAGACAATATCAGTGTAGAGACACCACGAGGGAGACACTTGTGACGGAACAGACACAGAGGGGATCGGCAGAGACAATGTGAAAGTCAGTCAGCACAGACACAGGGATAATGTCGGAGGAGAAGGAAAAGAACGTTAGGAGAACGTAAGGAGAGGCGCAAAAGGGCCTCAGAAGAAACGCAGAAAGAATGTCAGTATAGAGGTAAACAGTAAAGACACACACGGGGAGTGTCGGAAGAGACGCAGGAACGTCAGTATGACACACCAGTACGACGACTGGCAAGTCGCTAGCGTGACCATGTCCAAGATCAGACACACCACTGGAAGCGTCCGGAGACGCACACAATTATCTTGTGAGCAAAGGAAACATTTCACGAAACACAGAAAGAAACACGCGAGCTTATTACCCTTACCAGTGTATCGAGAGCGACGACAAACAGTATGTTCTCCACTGACGGAAAACTGGTATGACATGAAACGGAGTTAAAAGTCATGCGCGACCATTGACCGCAAGGATGACAAAAGGCGACATCGATGGGATGACCGATACTCACGATCGGAGTCGCAATGCTACGGTTAAGTCACATTGACATACGGTGCCTCTGAAGAGTCCAGAACATATCCTTCACTGTCTACTCCCGATCTAAAAATGTGACGTGGCTTACTCCTCTAAAAAGTCACGGCCTTACTCGTCATCACTGCACTGCGGAAAGGGTCGAGGGTCACACACGATTCCTAGTGCCTTACCTTGGTGACCGTGATGAAGTTTGGGGCGAGGAAGACAGACCTGACGCCCGGGATGCGGAAGAGCAGCTTGGCCAGCGGCGAGTGCTGCGCCGTGGCCACGGTGGGGAAGTCGAGCGTGCCGCCCTCCTCCAGCACCTGCCGACACAGCGGGAGGACACGACGTCAGCGACCGTCTTCTGGTCAGCTGACCACACCTAACCTGCGAACACGGGGATGGGGGCCGGACAGCCTCATTCTGAATTGAACTCTTCACGCTGAATTAAAAGCCGTGTCTGGCGAAATCGCTGTCTTGTTTTTTTTTTATTTTTCGCTGAAAACGCTCGTCCCAAACAGAAATGTGACATTTTTCGACGAAAGACAATTGGGAAAGGTTAAGAGCGTTCTGCGTTATATCGTCAAGCAAATGGGTGCAGGGCATGACAGTGAGCTATGCAGATTTAAAGTGACCAACCCCAACTTAACATTAATTTTGAGTTGAGATAGCTGCATGACGATAAATGCATAGCTCACTAATCATTACGCATTGTTGAGTTGAGACAGCCCTAGCTCGCAATTGCTGGTTTGGATGCTCACAACATCGAAAGATGCCTTAAATCGGAAATACTTAATTTCAAAGTCTGCAGTACTCGAATTCAGAAGGGCTAATGCATTTGAATGCCCCCTCTGACTTTGTGACGTCACCGCAGATCTAGCGATTCTTCAATCTTTTATTAAAACCTTGGTGAATGACAAGTGTTGCTGTGGTAGTACGTACGGCCTTGCGCTCAACATTTGTCGCACTTCTAAGACACCTATGATTATTTCCAAATGACGTTATAGGAACAGCGGATGCAAAAAAATAAACAAAAAATAAAAGTCTAATTTCTCAAAAAACCGGTTATTTTTGAAAGTGGGTGATTCCTTGAAGGTGGGATGGGAGGGTAACTTTAACTCGACTCCGGAGTTTGAATCGGTAAGATTTTGGCGACTCCGACTACGGCTCAGGGCAGGACTGACGACTCTGACCGACCGACTCCGACTCCGACTCCGCAGTCCTGCAGCATGCTATTCCCACATTCCCACAGCCCGCAAGTCTCGCTCAGACCGACTAGTCTGCCCCCTCTCCCCCAGCGTACCGTTCTTCCCGGAAGGAATTTGAGGCTGTTGGGGTTGGGCGTCTCCTGCGTCTGGATGAACATGGTGCGAGCCGGCAGCAGTGCCGGGGCGGACACCCTCGGGACCAGTAGAGCGGCCGGAGTACGTAGAGACGACACACTGCGGGACAGACGGGGAACTGTGTTTTCACCAATCTCATTACTCTAACACATCCAATGGGGTGAGCAAGGAGGCAACCAAACCAGAGCTTCCTCAACTTCGTTTGAAGTGTGCCAACTTTATTTGATGTTAATGAGCACCAAAGTAATTAAGAGCTGAGGTTAGCAGCAGAGTTACAAAACAGTTATATAATCTTCCAGACATTAGTGATATCCCCATAGCCTGCTTCCTTTCCAAAATTCAAATCCTTACAGTGCACATGGTCCCTTCCCTTAGTCCCCCCGGGCAACACTGCAGTAGGTAGGTCACTTGGCCACTTGGCCTATAGGTCCTGTTCTCACCAAGTTGCTTTGCGGTGACATTCAGGACTCTTAAGGTTTTGGCATGACATACATTAGATGTGTCCAGTGACAGTCAAGTCGTGCCTTGAATATTGAGAGCATTTCACTTTCGGCAGACACAACTTCAGCAGGTACAGCGTTCCAGTCATTGACGATACGGACGCTGAAGCCGCTTCGTCAAGTGAGTGTCACAGCTTAATACAAAACATAACTTAATACAAAACCAAGACTGGCACATCATTTGGCAAATAAGCGCCTCACTCCGTTCCGCCCGTACCTGACTCTACCTGGCAGGAGAGTGTGAGCCCTCCTGGTCCAGGAAGCAGCCGCCCCAGCAGCTGTGGGCACCAGCCTCCTGCTGCAGGCTCGGCACACTGGCAGCAGCATCTCACAGAACCTGTGAACAATGGGATGAGAGAAATCAGAAAAGTCAAACTAGGTACTGGCCAGAGCCCACAGATGAGACTGAGGTCAATGTAGATGGTTTGCAAATATGAGCGAGTCGCTTATTTGTAAAACTGTCCAATGTCTCAATGATGTTATGTTGCGTCAGACCCTTCCCTGTGCGCGCCCTAACTCTTCAACAACAACAACAACCCTTCCCTGTGGTGGTTTGAATAAAGTCAAAGTGGCTGACTGCAGGAAGAGAAACTACCTTCACAGAAGTGCGAATATCAGACCTTTTTCTCTGAAGGCCTTTATAAATATAATTTCAGCACTGTAAAGAAGTCGTCTGCCCTAGCTTGTTTATTCACAGCCCGTTGCTGAGAGGCCAACACACCTGAGGGAGGCAACACACTGAGTCACCGTTGAGGTCCAACACTACACCCCTCCTCAGGTCAACACAGGGAGCTGCAGCACAGCCATTAAGTGATGTGGAGCTGGAGGCTCAACACTACACCCCTCCTCAGGTCCAACAACACACCAGCGGTGGCCGCGCACCTATATGGAGGGGGTTGAAGCGTGGCGAACCAGTGATTACTCGCAGCGCGAAATGTGGGCCGAACGAACATGCATGAGGAAGGCATGAGTACCACGTCTTCGAAAGCTATCCACAACAAAAGCAAAACAGAAAAGACGCTCCCTGAGATAACGCCGAACAGGATAACACCGCCCGACAGCTTGGCCGCGCCAGTACGGCCGTGGCCGCCAATGCCGCGGCGAACAAAATCTGCGCTTCTTAAGTCACGGTCCGTGATTGGACGACAAGAACAGCGTGGGTCGTGTCGTGGAGGTCGGCATGATCCAGCCTGGACATGCAAACGTTGTTCAGGTGTCTGTCAACGGCACCGCCACCTCCTTCTTCGTGGATTCCGGCTGCAACAAGACGCTCATCCCTGTCAGCGCCTACCACGCGTCCCTTGGCAAACTGGAGGCATCATCCGTCAAGCTGAGGCCGTACGGGACAGCAACCCTTCTGAGAGTGAAGGGAGAGATGCGAGCCACCCTTCAGAGTCGAAACGGGGCACAGTGTCACACGACTGTGTACATCATCGATGGACACTTAGCGGAGCCGCTTCTGGGTGACGCGGACGCCAAGGCGCTTGGCATCCTCCACATCGACGCCGGCGGATCGGCTCGCGAGGGGGAGCCACCCGGCCATGTTGTCGGCGTGGCAGGAATCGTCGACACCCTCGCAGCTGCTGGCGTGACAGTGCAAGCCAAGAAATGCACGAGTCAGGATATTTCCGGCGACGACAGACGTAAGATCGCAGCAATCGTCAATAAGCACAAGAAGGTATTCGAAGGAGTAGGCCTCCTGAAGGACGATGAGGTCTCCTTCCACATTGATCCGGAGGCGACCCCAGTCGTCGCACCCTACCGTCCTGTTCCCCTGGCCTACCAAGAGCGTCTCAGTGCTCACCTAGCCGAGCTGCGAGCGGAAGGAAAAATCGAAGACGTCGGACCACAAGAAGAGTGTCCATGGATCAGTCACGGTCTTCTCTCCTTGCCGTGCATGCATGAGCCGGAAGACGGCCATGGACAGGTTGACATGCTGTCTGCAGTGCGCCCGGATCTGGACGATGGCGGCCTTGAAGGTGGTGGGAGGGTCTGACTCTGTGTCGACTCCTGCTACCTTAGCGAGCTTCCGTAGGTCGCGGCCTCCCCACAGGAGGAGCAGGTTGAGCTTTTGTGTGTCATCGGTCACACCAAGGGAGTTGACGAGGAGGCTGGCATGTTCAAGCCACTCTTCGAAGATGTCGTGGTATCTGGCGGGGTCGGTTCCCAGGACACAGGGTTTGCCGGCATCAGGGATGAGTGACATCCTCGTCGCCAGTGTAAAGAAGTCGTCTGCCCTAGCTTGTTTATTCACAGCCCGTTGCTGAGAGGCCAACACACCTGAGGGAGGCAACACACTGAGTCACCGTTGAGGTCCAACACTACAAGCACTGTCCACACTCGATTCTCTGCCCAATTATAAATCTATCGAAACTTTCTCCGGGTTTTTCCGCCGGATCTATTGTTTTCTGCGTTTTTCGATTTTCTCCAAACAAATATCCAAAGTCAGATACTATTCAAAATTATTAATCAAGGGTAGTCGAAACTCTCAGAACAGGCAAATGTAGGATTTGATTTGATGATACTGTTGTTTGGTGTCGACAGTAGTGACGCTTGCGTATTTCAGAACATTTTTCAGATTTTGCGGCGCTTCTCACGCACTTTTTACATTCAATGGCGCACACTCATTTTTTTATAGGATTTTTTATCAATAGGATCAAAAGTAAGATCAGCGATGCCATTCCTTGGGATTTGTCCCAAGATCTTGGGATTTGAACATTAGCATTGGGATCTTGTGATTTGCACTGCATATCTTGGGATCTGACAGAAGCTGATTTCACTTTGTCTTCTCATGCTGTCGAATGCTTTTTCATAAATTTAGGATGGATTTGCCTCACGGACGATTAAAAGCATTCAAACATATTGAAGTAACGGACGAAGTTTGGCGCTTGCGATGTTTCTTGAAGGCATTCTCTTCCCGAGATCGCAGGATTATTTTTGTACCATTTCTTGTTATGGTATAGTAGCAGCTTTCAGTCGCTGTTCGCAACTGGCGCTCATTTGTTTAATTTCCAACGATCAACGGGGATGGGTGGTTTGGCGGCATGATGTTGGGTGGCTATGAAAAGCTTTTACAAACATAATGCCTAAAAAATATTTCAGAAAGCGGCTCCCGCACAAAGCGCTTCATTTTACGGTTTTGCTCTATGGAGGCTTATCCATTGACCGCGAACCAAAATAAGGGCAATTTGTCTTTGACCTCGGAAAAGTGTCTGGTCACCTGACCTCTGGGCTCTGCTGAACCAAAAATAACCAAAGCGTAACCTTGCGACCTTCACAACACTGCTGACGTCTTGTAGCTATATATTCCAGGGGACGAGTTAGGTCCTCGTTTAGACCCCCTCGCCATCGTCGGCTTGAAAATCCATGGGCCCCAGCGGGCACTGGCTTACACGCAGATTCACAGCATAGGCTTTTCGATTTCGGGATTCACATAAGCTTTTAAAGGGACCCTCCCACCTTAACATTAGATTTGAGTTGAGATAGCCAAAATGGGGTCCGTGGCTCACAATTACTGGTTTCGGCACTCACAACATCGAGAAATGCCTTAAATCGGAAATATTGAATTTCAAAATTGCAGCGTTTTGATTCAGAGGGGCTAATGCTTTTGAATACCCATCTGAATGTGTGACGTCAGCGGAGATCTAACGATTTGAAAATATTTTACTAAAACGTTTGGTAGCACGCGGTGGTATATGCTGCTTTGCGGGCAACAAATGCCGCACCTTCAAATAAAGTCGCTAGGAACAGCGGAGATCCCAAAAAGTGAACAAAAGAAAAAGTCTAATATCTTGAAAACCGGTGAATATTTTTCAATAAAATTTGGTAGATATTCGTTTTCGCTCTTTCTGAACCTAGCGACATCACTTTCATGCCAATTCATGAACTTTTTTGAAGGTGGGAGGGTCCCTTTAAGAGCTTGTTTTGGAGCCCATATTTCAAAACTGTCAGTGGTGGAAAACACTTAAAAACAGCCTGACCTCACCTGACCCTAGCTTCTCCAAATGTGTCACGAGACAAATTTCGAAATAAATCCAAAATGCCACAGACTTCGTTTCCAAGAAGTTCTAACAGATTCGGGCTTTGTGTTTTGGGTCCTTGACCCACCATTGACGGTCGACAAATGACCTGACCATAGAATTAGATACCACCGGGCACCGGCTTCATGTTGTCTAGGCCAGCATCTTCATTTTTTGTGAAGCTCTTATACTCGGTCAGGAACCGATCAGCTGTAGGAGTCCGATCGACCCCCTCCCCCTCCCCTCCCCCCGGCCTCTAGGTACATTAGCTGCTGTAAAGACGCCAATAAGGACAAGGGTGGACCCAAAGAAGAGAAAGCTGTATACTAAACACACTAATATCTCCAAAATAAGCTATGGATTTACCTATGGTACTCCTAAGGATATGTGATGGGTAGTCTTGGGATTCGAGACGAGAATCTTGGGAAATTCTAGTCGAGATCTTGGGATGGACCAAAAATGTGGATGGCATCACTGAGTAAGATACCAGCTTTTGATCCTGATTGTATCCATCGTATTCTATATTGATTAGCAGGTCTTTCTTTAAGAATAATGCATTAAATTTGTGTATAACTGCTCCAACAATACTCCCATCATGCAAGAGACTTCAACTTTGTGAACTCCAATTTTGTCAAATTGCCATAGGAATGGTTGTCATGCCATTAGTTGTGTCTGCGTGCTATATTTTAGATTCTGGTAACACTAACAGTTAAAACAATTTATAGTGAAAATTTTAAGTGTTTTGCGACTGTGATGATTACATTTGTTTCTTTGCAGAGCACTGGCCTCAAGATGAACTCTCAGACATTTTGTTTGAAGTGGGATGCATTTCAGAACAGCATCACCTCTTCCTTTGACTTGCTGCGACAAGATGAAGAGCTGGTTGATATAACACTGTGCTGTGATGGCCAGAGTTTGAAAGCCCACAGGCTAATGCTATCTGCATGCAGTCCCTACTTCAGGGAACTCTTTAAGGTGAGCTATTAGCCGCATTCATTTGTTGCTGCTCTATGTATGTATTTGTGCATAATAATTACTGTAATTATGAGATATGCATTTATGTATTTATATGATATTTTGTAAAGCTAGATTGTATTCCTGGGCTATTTCTGTTTAGAAGTTCATTATCTACCCTTTAACTTTCAGAGTAATTACCTAAGTATAAGAGAAATAATATATAATGAGTTACATTGCTGGTTAAATTTCTTATTCTATAGTAGTTGTGGTCAATGGACTTTATCAGGCCATTTAAAACATATGTTTTTGCTGTTATCTGAGGATATGAATGTAATGCTAACAATGATGATGCAATTGCAGCGTTTTTCCTTTTCCAGAACAACCAGTGCCAGCACATGGTCATTTTCCTGAAGGACACTTCAGTGGCCGACCTGCAGGCAGTGATCGAGTTCGTGTACAAGGGAAGGGTGAACGTGGCGCAGAGCCAGCTGGCCAGCTTCATCAAGACGGCCGAGATGCTGCAGATCAGAGGACTCAGTGGCGAGGATGACAAGGTGGGAAAGGCATCATGGATATGGATGTTGTCAGCATGCTATGCAATGTTATGTTTGTTAACTATGCGTCGTTCTGCTGGAGCTTCGCCTTCTATGTTTTTCAACTTTCAGAAGCCTTTGCCAAGATTACTATACCAAATGGTTGGCTAGTTACCTAGTGTGTCCAGTCCAAAATCCTAGTAGATGTAAAATCAAAGGTATGCTATTGATTGCTCTCAATGGCTGAAGGTAGCTTACCTCATTCACATTCAAATACACATCAGATGCCCATCAGATCAGTAAGCTGACTGAACTCAGCTCGCAGGCCAGTCTAACTCAGCTCTCTCTCATTGCAGACGTGCCCAGCCATGTCGGAGGACTGGTCTCCGGACCCGGGGAGCTGCTCGCCGCCGGTGAAGAGACGCCGCCGCTCGGCCTCCCCTGCCGCCGCCGTCCCCGGCCCCTCCCCCTCGCCGGCCGGTGCAGACCGGTGCCGGCCGCCCGAGTCGACCCTCCTGTACGGACAGCCCGACCCGGGCGCCGCCTGCTCAGCCTCCTCCGCCGCTCCGCCGCCGCCGGAGCCCGTCAAAATCGAGAAAATCGACCTCAGCGACACGGACGGCGAGGAGGAGGGCGGCGCGCCGCTGGACGACCGGCTGGCCGGGCTCGATGGGATACCCGGGTCCGGCGGGGGGCTCGATGGGATACCAGGGTCCGGCGCCGGGCTGGCGGAGGTGGACGGAGACGGCACGGGATTCGGCGGAGACCTGGACGGTGTGGCCGAGCTGCCCCTCGCCGCCCTCCCCGCGGGAATGATGGACGACCCGGCTGTCGACTGGCGACGAGTACGCGACCCGGCCGCCACCCAAGGTGAGCGCGGCAGAGGATATGTGACATTCCTGTCACTTGGTGACCAAAGCAAGAGTCGCCTGTTTTCCGATTTACTCTTCAATTACTCCACATTGCATATACCGCTTACCCAAGTATCGCACATCCATACTTACGAGTTTCGACTTGTACTGAGTACAAACTACGACTAATTATTACGACTACGTAACCCAGCAACTGATTAGTTGAAGAAATTACGTTTATTTTTGGGGAAGCATGGGTGAGCGCCAGTTGGTTACATGGAACTTGAGCAAGCAAATCACACTCATGAAACACGCGCTTGGCACAAACGGATTGTGCGCGGTTATTAGCAAGCACGAAACCCGCATCTGCTGTTGAGCTTGCCCACGGCTTCATATGTCCATCCGACCCTCTCATTCGCTATATATCCCCCTCGCCCTGCCATTGACTGCCTCCCCACTCGCTCATAGGTCGTCTTTCTCCTTCCCACTCCGTTGTTTTGCGTCGTGTCCCGCTCAGCGGGCTCCCAGTGCCGACATTTGCACGGCCGGCTCTCCGCCGTGCCGTGGCCGGGCCGCGCCTCCCGGGCTGTACGAGTCGCTGATCTCCCGGTAGAACGCCAGCACGAGCACGTACCAGTACCAGAGGAGCGGACTGGCCAGCAGGCCCAGCGCCCCCAGCACGCCGCACACCACCGAGGCGGCGTAGGCACTCTCGGCGGCCACTCGCAGTCCGTCCTGCCTCTGCCAGTCAGCGGTGACGGGCCCCGGCCGAGGGCGTCCGAAGGTGCCGAAGGTGTTGACCGTCTCCTCGGGCGGCGCCGCCTCGGCCTGGAACTCCGAGAAGACGGCGGAGAGCACGCCACAGCCGATCAGCAGGCCCACCGAAGCCAGTGCCACCAGCACGAACACTATGGCGTAGTAGATGAGCCAGGCGAGAGCTGCGCAGGCCGAGCGGCGGTGCACGGCGAGCAGGAGCAGCGCGTTGAACAGCAGCGAGAGCAGCACAAACGCCAGCTGCGGCGCGAACACCCAGCCGTAGAGCAGCGCCGCGCCGGCCAGACGCACGCCGGACGCTGCCTGGAAGTCGCTCAGGTCGGAGGCCACCTTGGCCCAGCCGGCTATTATTCCGAGCAGGTGGACGGCGCTGAAGGACATACAGACGATGGCCACGGCCATTGCCGAGGAGCGCAGGTCCAGGCCGCAGCAGCCGCGCACAGCCATCGTGACAGAGCGGAGCTCAGGGGGCGCAGAGGGAGCCGGGGGCTGCGAGCCGCTATAAACTGACTCCTGGAGATCCTGATGGACTCCTGAGGGTGCTGGTGGATCCCTGCCGCTGCTGGACTTTCGAAGACGCTGGTGGATTCCTGGTACTGACGCACTTCGTAGGACGCTGGCAAAATCTGACTGATATTTTTCTTCTTAATTTCCGTTGATGCTGGTAGATTCCTGCGCTCCTGCGACCGATGATGGGCTCTTGCAGACGCTGAAGGAGACCGCTGTCGACCTTTGCAGGTAGTCGCACCTGCCTGTCTTTCTGCTCAGTTCCTGTAGCAGCGGGTGTCACTGCCTCGGACCGAGCTGCTTCGTCCACTGACCCCGGTCGGGCCGCTGCTGGCCTTTTTGCCAGTGAGAAGGGCACGGACCGATCTGCGGAGGGAGGGTGCTGCAGTCGCACTATCTGCTATTCCTTCCTTCCGCCGAGTCTGCAGGGCCAGTTCCGGCGGGTTATCGGCGCCCCGGAAACTCTGGCGACACCAGTGCGACACGGCTGAGATTGGGGAGATGGAGGGGAGAGGGATGGAAAATCGGGCCGGGGTGGAGAGAAGAGGAGAGGGAGGGGTGGAAAACCAGGCCGAGGGGATCAGGGAAAACCGCGCCTTTGAGTGGGCTGGTACGCGCGTCGCGCATGAAAATGGCGGGAATTCCGGCGAACTGGAAAGCGGAAACAAACTTACTTCACCGTACCTTGATGTGCCAACTGATGGCTGCTACAAATTAAGGCGACGCTCGGAGAAAAGGCCGTACTTTGGGGCCGCTGCTACCTCTGTGTCCGAAGGGTGTTACTGTGTATACAGGCTCCCACTTACTGGACTGAAGCCTTCCGCAGTCCGGACGATGTCGCTCAGGCCAGTCAGCTCGCTATGGAAAAAGTCCAAACTGCTCGTTTTGTAGCGGTGACTGCGGAGCGTAAGGTATCTCGAAATCAAGATTGTACAAGATTGTAGTTGTACCACTATCGCAGGTGAGATATTGTCGGGAACACTCAGATACGCGTAGGGAACTGCTGCGATGGCTGGTATTTGCCGCCAGTGCTCTTGATTCAGTCACTGTTCATGGCCTCTCAACTTCGAAACGGAATGCTTCTCTTGTTGCCGCACCTGCTTTCACGAAATGCTGTCGGCCGGTGTTCAGGTGATGCGAACGATTTTTTTTTTAGCACAGAGCCGCGGCGCTGGTAGCCGCCCACCTCAGGTAGTGCAGCTTATTAGTAAAATAATCTTAGTGCAGCTGCCACCTGCCAGTTTCGCCCGCTCTGCCAGGGCCGCGCTGATGAACCGCACCCCGCTACGCCGCTGACAAACCTGTGTAGTAGCGGACAAAGTATGCCGCCAGAAGATGGATAGTCTGTTCTTGTTTACGTTTGTATATTGTTTGTCTTATGTAGCTACGTAGACGAGTATTGTCGTGACCAAGGCGTCGTGACCCCATGGATGTCTGACGTGTTGTGCGAGTGCTCCTCCCCTACCCGCATACTTGCTACCTATGACTCGGATTTAAGCCGTAATCGCTTAGATCCGAGTCAAAGGTATGTATGTATGTAATATGTATGTATCGATCGTATGAACGCATACCTATATGTATGTATTGACATCAAAGCTTTCACGCTGTATGCGGGAAGCTTTTGATGTAAATACATGCATATATGCATGCATACCTACCCACCTATTTACATTCATACATACATACATAAAACTTTGAACTTTATTTTAAGCACTTCATTTGAGAGGTAATCTCGGCGTTATTTTGTGTCCCTCCCTCGCACCGGATACAGTAACTGTCGTGTATCTCACTAACTCGCCGGTCTCCCGCTCCCTTTCAGACTCTGGCGGCGCCGTGCACCGCTGCCCCATCTGCTGCCGCGGCTACTCCAACGCCCGCTCGCTCGAGTACCACAAGAAGATGCACGCCGGCCTGACCACGTGCGCCCTCTGTGGGAAGGTAACCAGCAAGGTGGAACACCTGCGGAGACACCTGGAACATGTGCACAAACTGACGCAGCAGGATATACGCAGCATCGTGCCCACACGGAACAAGTCCAGGCCGCCGGCCCGGCTGGTCTGAGGCCCGGCGGCTGGGGGGGGGGGGGGGGGAGAGGCCGGTGAGGTTCCTCTGAGGGTAATGAGTCGGCGGGGGAGGCGGAGAAGAGTGACGGAGAATATGTTTTTTTTTGTGATACTCCACCTGGAAGTATAGGGCCGTTTAGCAGTTACCGATCTGAGTGTCACTCGCGGTATTGTGATGTGCTAAAAGACGGTTAATGGGCGGTTAATGGGGACCTGCAGTCACCCGCGGCTGGAACGCAGCTGTCTCAGACCATAAATAACGACATTAGATGCTGGAGGGACATATCCTGTCCGTCACATAAGGAAAATATGTGGGTTGATGTAAAGTATGGATGATATCATCAGTACTCGGTGATCGTGTGGGCCGTCATTGTTCGTCAAACGGCAGTGGCGCGTAGCTCGTGATTCGTGACTGTATGTACAATATTGTGTTAATTGTGTTCCAAGGCACGCGGGAAGGGCGTTGGACTGAGTACAGACATCCGATCGCTCTGGTGTGAGTGGATGTGATGTGATGTGATGTGAACCTAGTCAAGTCCGGAAGGTATCGTGGGTGAAATTCCACCCAGTGTTAAACTGATTGCGGGGGGGAGGGGCGATGATATTGTCATCCCGTGAAGGGGAGCTTCACAAAGCTAACCGAAGTTATAAAATAAGACGTGTTATGGTGTACCACCTAATGTCATTGCTTGCTGAACAAAACAGGAGCTGTCGCGTCACCTGGCGGCCGAGTCAGAACTGTGTGTTGGCTCTTCCCTCACTAGATGGCACTACGTGCCCCTGAGGCTCTGCTGTTGCGCGGTATGTCCGTGGAAATGATCGTTTAGTTGGATTTTGATCCGTGAATGTTTCATTGCAATACCAATTGTCCAGTCATGTTTGTTTTCTCTTATCTAAAGCTGACATTTATATCATTGTTTCGTATTTTGTTTTTCATCAACAAGACCTACCCGTACCCACGGAGCGCTGAATTGTGACCCTTGCCAACGAAGGCAGCTGTAAACAAACACGAGATACCCGTTGATGATGAGATTGTCAATAAGCTATTCTTCTCATTTGTATTAACCGTATGAATAATGCAATACCTGTACACTTATGCGTTTTCCTAGTATTTTGTCATATAATAGTCGGCGTCAAGGAGTTTGCACGCGAATCTGTTATTAGCATCGTCGTTCGTTATCTGGGTTTGCTCAACGAGCTGCTATTTGCTGTCTTCTGGGATCTCTGACCTTGTGGCCGGTGACTTGACTCAATGTGACCCAGTGGTAAATGGTTTCTAGGTCTCTGTGCATCTGTGATATGTACCTAGGTACTGGCGTGGATCATATCGTACATAAATCGACGCCAATTATATGATTTGAAAGATCTTATCTGGAATTCAATCTGCGAGTGGTTTTGCAATGTTTTCTAATCGACATAATGGAAGTGTTCAGGCCACGATATAAAACGATACGGCGATGGGATCACTCGAAAATTGCTTCGCTGAATGGCAGCTGACAGATGCTTTTATTCGGCATTTGACCACATTTACCGTCTCACATGTCACCATGGTCTCTTGCTACCACGCACGCACCTGATATTAAATGCCCATATAATGCACGTACCTATATTGGAGCCACGTACCGAACTGGGAAAAAAGCTTGATTGACGGCCAAGTGTAGCTCGTAGAATCATTGAGATGGCAGCCCGTCAGTGCAATCGTTAGGTATATGTACGGTTTTCTCACTTCTCAGGCGAAGCCCACCGCGCGGTCGTCTATCATATTCAGCATCTAAAATGTTCGTCAATCCACGTCCGTCCCCTCTCTGAGCTGTTCCGGTTAGTTTATCAGAGAGAAGACATATCTGAGCCAGCCCGTAGGACGGAATTGTCCACTCAGTCCGATCGCCGATCGACTGTCAATAACGCCAGTGACTCGAAGACAAGCGTGTACGTTTGACAAGTGTATTGGACACATTGTACTGGACATCGGGCACATTCAGCATTGAGATCCGTCCGCATCTCGAAACTATCCTCATTGCAGGAGCGGGGATAAGGCGCAACGGTCTGGAGGGGACGAGCTGACCTCTCCTGAGCCTCACAGGAGCACACTGTAGCGAGTTCTCTACCCCATTAATGGTAGCACACGAACAATGAACCTGCTTACATCTGGAGTTTCCAAAAAGCTCAGTGGGACAATCTGAGTCAAGGAACAGAGAGAAATCTGTCCCAAAGCCGGTAGCACCGAAACAGTACTGGATTGGTCCGGGAGGCGACAGGGAGAAGGCATAGCCCACGGCAGGGGCGGATCCAGAAAATCTCCAAGGGAGGGGCCATTAGAAACCAGGAGGCCCCCCCCCCATAATCCCACCTGTTGGAGGCCCCATCTTCCCACTTGTTGGGCCCCCCCCCCCAAAAAAAAAACTGCGTCTATTGAGCTTATCTAGCTGTTCAGGCAACATCTCAACATCTGTGCAGGCTTGGAGGCCCTCTGTGCAGGTTAGGAGGCCCTGTAAAAGTGGTCATCTCTGTGAGTATAAGAGACCTCCAAGTTATGAAAAGCTTTACCAATCTTCTAACAAAGAAGTCTTCTCAGCTAGTCTTCTAAGAAATAACTAAGTGGGTAGGTTAAAAAAAAAAACTCATCGGATTTCGGCCACTTTATTTTCAGGAGGCCCCCTTTTCAGCTTTTTAACTTTTTAACTTTTTATTTTATTTTTGAAAAAAATCGGCCAAGGGGGGGGGGGGGCATGGCCCCCATGCCCCCCCCCTTGTATCCGCGCCTGGCCCACGGCCAGCGCTCGCACATCGTAGCGCTCGCACATCGTGGAGCAATGAGATGACAGACGCGGATACATACATTCAATGCAAGAGATACAGGAAAGATGGCCACACATGCCGGCTGTATATACAGTTCGCTCACAATACACAAGATATTGCTGATTCGCCCTAATATCTATATCGTACTTTGCGACGCTGTACGGCTACCTACAACTACGTACATAAACTTAATGTACCTACATACATAAAGGCTGCGTTGCTTCAACCTAACACATGCCACTGAAATGAAGAACGCTCGTAAGTTTCGAAAGATCACTCGTTTTTTTCTCTCGCTTTTTTCGCGAAACTTGAAAGTAACAATCCTTTAACCCTCGCCGGCCGAGGGGGGGGGGGGCGGGTGCCGCCCCCCCATAGGGTTTTTTCGCGATAGCTCCGAACACGCTGGCGATAGAGAGCTGAAACTTGGCATACCTGACCTTTGATCCAAGCCGGATCTTTTGACACCAACCGCATTTTTGGGTCAGGTCAGGTCACTGACCTATGACGTCATAAGTGAACCTCTGCACGGTCTTCAGATGTCGCAACTTCGCAACGCCCTCACTGCCAGAGGAGATGTCACAGGGAAATGAAACTTGCAGGATCTAGTATCCATTATGAGTCCCACAACTTGTATATCTCGGATTTTTCCTAAAGGTCATATGAGGTCAGGTCATTTTCGTGACCTCACCATTATAAGTCAATGGGGAAAAATGAAAACTGCTATTCTGGCGCCGGGAACGATCTCCAACTATCTCAAGCACACAGAATCGTGATTTGATGCACTCCTTGCAAGGTTAGATGCGTCACTTTTGCAATGTTGACCTTGCGTGACGTCATTTATGACGTCATCAAGGTCATATTAGTTTTTCGTCAATAACTCTTGATCAAATTGAGCTAGCGAGTCGGGAAAGCCACCAATGGACTCAGGAAGACCTGCCGAATCGAATGATATGTGACATGACCTCTTTCGACCAACTTCGTGACCTGGGGGTGCTGACCTGACCTTGACCTGAGGTCAACACCCCAAGTTGACCTGACCCGGACAAAAAGTATATCATTCGACGCGCCTGAGCGAGACAAACACGATGCTGCCAAAATCGGCGCTCTGCGGCCGTTTTTTGCGAAGTTATTCACCAAAAACTGAACCGTACCTTGGGGCACTTGACCTGACCTCAGAGGTCACCGGTTGACCTAGGACCTTAAAATCGGGTACCAATCTCTGCGTCTCGTAGCGGCGCACACGCTCGTTTTTTTCCGCGACGCGCTAGCTCCACCAGGGGCGAAACGGCGAGGGGGGGTCGTACCCGCCCCCCCCCCCCCCTCGGCCGGCGCGTATGTAGAAAACCAATAGGTCCGGCGAGGGTTAAATTTGATTAAAACCCAAATCGTACAGTGCCATTGTTTCCTGAACTAGCACCGTTTGATTTTTTTACAGGACGCGAAGTATTCTAGCTAAGAGAGGTAAAAAATAATACACACCACCGCAGCCCACACTTTGTCTTTAAACCAGTTTGAGTTATAAACCATTGTACGATAATTCTGGGTGGGATCACCATTCCTCGACTCTTCAACCAATGCACCTCTGGACCTGACTCGTCGTCATTGGTCAAACAGCTTACGGACGCTCCGTGCCGTGAACATATACAATACACTTAACACGCCTCCGTTACACAACAGTCACGCCCTGAAACGCCGCGCGGTCGGCCGTAGTTTGTCCGATCCAGCGTTGTGACGCTGGCCGCGGAGCACCCTCCGTCTCTGACGGCGGCGTCTACTTTTTCTTGTCCTTGATGCAGCGCGGGCAGAACCACTTTCCGCGGGGGCTGGAGGTGAGGCCGACACAGGAGAAGTGGAACCACTCGATCGGACAGTCGGGGTTGTCGCAGCCCACCATGTCGCCGTACGACACCTGGTGGAGGGGGCCGGAATGTCACTGTAAGATACATGGCGAAAACAAACACCATATTCATCACAGACAGAGACAAACACCACCGTCCACCAGAGTGTCATTGTAAGACATACACAGTGTCACTATAAGAGGCTTGGTGGAAGAACTAACAGAAACTGTCACCGCACAACTACTGTAAGGGTGAACGAGGATTCTGTCACCGAGCTCATCTTGGTAGGCACCTGTCCTCCAGTGACAATTCGAGGAAAACATCTCGAAACAGCCGTGTAAAAATAAAGTGTGTGACTGTTATCATTCAGGGGATTCCAGCCCCGCTCACGCCCGCACCCCGGTGTCGAGCTCTGCGCCCGCACCCCGGTGTCGAGCTCTGCGCACCCACCTGGTTACAGAGGCAGTAGGTGGGCTCGTTGGGGTCGACCGGCATGTCCAGTCCGTCCGTGGAGACCGGCTGGGTGGGGTTGATGAGCTGCCGGATGGCCGCCTCCACCTCCACCGGGCTCTTGATGGCCTTCGAGTAGATCGGGTCCTCCTCGGCCGCCTTCCGAGACTTCTTGCTGCTGGCCTTCTTTTTGGCGGGCCGCCGGGCGGGCGGCTCGGCGGCGCGCGCGCTGTGACTGCCCGCCTGGATCTGCTCCTCGAAGGCGGCCAGATCCACGTCCAGTTTCTGGATGTAGCGGTCCACCAGCTCGTACGTCTTGGTGGCGAGCGCCACGTTGTTCTCGCCGTGTTTGCGGAGTTTCTCGTACATCTTGAGCAGCCCGTCGGGCGGCGGCGCCGACGGATCCGGCAGCGAGGCCAGGTACCGGTCCGACTTCTCGTCAATCAGACGCTGCAGCGCGTCGCACTTGGTGTTGCGGTCGCGGATCATGGCGAAGTTGTGCTTCAGCTCCTGCGGCAGGTTCTCGAGGCTGTCCAGCAGTGACTCGCCCGTGCCCCCGGTGGCCATCGCTGTTACCCTGTCCTTTGGGGCTGACTGGTTGGATGCAGCACTGGTGGTGAATGGCTTCACTCAGCCACCGATTCTGCTGGTAAGTTTGAGGGTTTCTGATACAGAGGCAAGGAAGATTGCATGAAGATTTTGAATGAAAATATCTTCGGTACTGGATCAACAGCAAGCCATCTTACACACGTAACTTATGACTTCTGTCAAATTCTGTCTTAGTTTATTCAAATTGTTCTGAAAAAGGAAAACAGAATTGAGTAAAACATTACTTTGCATATGGTAAGGCATGAGCATCAGCAATCTTTGAGCATACAGAAAAATAATATGTCAATTTGACAGTGGGCATGATTAAGGCAGGTTCTTTAAAAATGATAAGCAGGCAGGCAGAACTACTTTTGGGGCCAATGGTAAAAGGGTCCATACTACATAGAATAGACTTAAAGCCAAACAGATAAACTAGGTTCTGGGCTGCACCATGTAACTGCTGGGGAGAGGTAGAGATGAACATACAATGCCACAAACTTGAATAAAACTTTAAACATCAAACAAACAAACATAATATAGGTAACATATTACAATAATATTACAATATATTACAATAATATTTACTGAAGATTTGCAGACAACCAAGTCCTAAGAGTAATTAAAATAAATATCTGGAGGGCAGAGTATGAAAAACACTGAAAGAAAGCATTTTGTGACACATCAATCTCTTCAGAGCAAAAACAGGACACCCTCAAAAGTAGACAGTAGCGTAGGTATTACAATTAATAAACACAATCAAAATACCCATGAACTCTGTGACTTTTGAAATAAGTCATCCACCCAAGATCCAGCCCCAAGGCCCAAAAATGCACAGCCTTGACCTTAATCATACGGCTTCCATACAGAAACAAATTATGAGTGGGTGGGGGTCCGAACTCCAAACACCCGCAATCCTGGTGGCACAGCCTGTCGTCCGACCATAGCTTAGTAACCACTGAAATATTTGACCCTTACAAAAAATACAAAATACACGAAAGTGCATGTTGATGGTCACTCTAGAAAGAAGGTGTCAAGATAAATTCAAAATGAGCATTGTGAAACTACATTTATTGCCAGCTATATTGACTCTATTCTAAAAAAGCAGGTGTGAGAACAAATGCAAAATTCCACTTGAAAGTGAGTGTAGGACTCGCTGGAAAATCATACAAAAATGAGCTACAGCACGAAAATAACAAAATAATCCAGTTTGAACCTAGTTAGCCCAACTGTTGATATTTTGGCCCATCAACAAAAGAAACGGGAAAAAAAGTGAAAGAGAAACCTGTTCTAAAACAGAAAATACTGTCTACAGCAGGCAGCAGAACGGAAATCCGATAAAATGATTTGCGATTGTTCCTTAACCGTTTGCAGAGAAGACAAACAACCAGAAATTCTGAACAAATAGAACAGGATCTATTTGTCGACAACTCTAACGCAGCTAGAACCTATTTGACGCAGTTATTCTCGCGGCGTCAACACTTCTCGAGCGGAGTCCGTCCGTGAGGGGTCACGTTGCGTTGCCAAGGGTTTGTGGTTGGTTTGTGGTCGTGACCTACTTTACTACCGGTTTGATCTCGTTGACGACTGAAGAACAGAAGAAAGCAGAAAAGACTATTTTTCTCTTGGTGAGTACCAAATGGATCTTTGTGGAATTTCCTCTGATGTGACATTCGTAGGTAACGGTGCCTTGAAATGACCTCTGGTTTTGGTTGGTGTGAGTTGCTGTGCTGTCTGTAGATGTAGAATCCACGTGTCATTGCAGATAATGCCTTCTGCTTTGTTTTTCTTTATTCTTATCCATAGTTTAGATACAGTTTTTAATCCTAACAGTGACCCAAGAATGGAATATGCTGAAGCATAGGTCAGGGCAATGACCCATCAGTTCAATGACCCATTGACCATTCTGATTCACCTCTATTCTCCAACATTATTGTGAACAACTTAAGGGTCAGCAATTTTATCAGATTTATTTTGCCATCAGGTTTCTCGCATTTAGACACATCAAATGAACTACAATTCAACCTAAAAAGGTGATCTACCCTAGGTCCCTAGGTCAAGGTCAACTTCACAAGTAAACTTCAGGCCAAGGTCATGACATGACTTGAAAAGGTAATGCTGCATAGAAACAAATCCATATTGATGACATGAACTCATTCCATGTGATTTCATTGCTCCAGCATGACTTCATCAAAAGTTACTGTCAAAAAACTTGGTGACCTGTCATGGACGTGACATGACCCCTGTAGTGAGCTATGGGCTATGGCCATGAACTTCACCCTGTCCATTGCACATGGGTAGAATGGTCATGTTTCTTCAAGTATCTTGTTGTCTTGACATGTTTGTTCAAAGCAGGAGGCGATTGTAAATGTGCATATTTTTACCCTCTTGCCTTACAATGGTAAGTTCAAAAGTCTAACCTGACCCCAGGTATCAGGCATGAAAAATCTGAAATGTAAAAATTGTTAGTATCAATATCTTCATGCAAGTCACAGAGTTTCAAAGTTCTAGAAGATAAACTGTAGGAATGTCAGAACCACAAAGTTGTTTCTAGAGACATGACTAGGCACTAAACTTGATGACCTGACCTTAGGTGACTTGGGGTCAAAAGTTCTACATACAATGCAGGATTGATGTATGATAAGCCATACCAAGCTCCTGAATGCCACAGTGTTCTTGACACAGGTATGCTAAAAACTGGAGAATATGGCCGAAAACACACCATCTCCCCCCACCCCAGCGGCAGTCAAACAGCGTTAATGTGTGCTTCTGGTGCAAGTGTAGACATTGACCTCATGGCTGCAAATCTGGCAGATTTATTGTGAACCGATCTCCATGGACCATGGTTTCATGGCCCTCCCCCAGGCTTCACTTCGGTTTGTCGCCACTATAGGTGGTAGCCTATATTGAATATGTAGGTAGGGCGCGCCGGAGCGCTCGAACCGGGGTCACGCTACCGGCTGTCTCGGTGGTTGGCCGCTCCACCCAGCCGAGTTACGGGAACTCAATTAAAAGTGGCTCACAGAAAGTCATAAGGGGAGGCTGATATTAAAAACTAAAAAGAGTTGTGTTGGGAGATGCAGCCTAAAACTCAACTACAACTACTCTGAGCAGTAATCGCCACGCACTTTCAGAATGCGGATCGCTCATGATTGTTCAATACAATACAATACAATACTGAGGCCTCTTGCACCAAAATCCTCTTGCACCAATGCTTGGATTATTTTGCATCGTATACCCAGTCCAAGTCTCAAATGTAACAATTTGCGTGCAAAATTTAGCAAGCACACGTAGGATTATGTATTGGGCTATTGCAAACAAATTTACCACCGTTAGATTAGCTTATTCTGAAACCAGTTTTTCGATTTTACCTAGCTAGGTAGTTTGGTGCAAGAGGCCTCAGCTCTAAATTTGTTCTTTTTAAATGCTGGTCTGCTCATTGCTGTCACGGTAGCATATGAAGGGGCGCACGCCTAATGGGTAGGCAAGAAGTTGGTTTATGATGCGTACGCAAAGTTGCTTATGCAACTTTGGCAATCACTTTTGCTTGCTGAAATGAATAAATAACTCAAATTCAGTAAGTTTGGGTTTCCGTTGATCGTAAACGGATCCTGCCGATAGTTATTTTCAAGCTCATTGAGCGAACCTTGAACAGTTCAAAGTTTGCCAAGAGATCTAATACTTATGTCTTATTACGTTCGTCGTGTTCCAAGCCCTTGTTGGCTTCCATGGATCTGTTACGATAATCGAAGCTTGGTTTCATACTGTGTCGTATCGTTCTTTCATTTTAGTTGCCACTTGCCTGTTGTCATCTTGGGATTATTTTCAGCACTTGTTTTTGTTTCAGTTTACAATGGATTCTGTTAATACCATTAAAGACAAATTATCGGCGATTGGTGAGTCCCGTCTGACTAATGACCAGCGTATCTGTTACGCTTTTGGCTGTGATTTTAACTAACCTACTGGTTGCTGACAGCATCATGCGGTTCTGCTTTCTGTAACACCCCAATCAGCGCGCTGAAACGGGGCGCCTTTCTGTAAAAGACGCATGCTTTGGGCTACACTGCTCCAAATATCTGTGCACACGGAATGCGGAATGGGAGCATTTCCAGGGTTCAAGAGCTATGGATTTTGCTCTGTTCTCTTACCCGCGGTACGTGGACCGCTGTTTTCGCTGTCGGTCGCATGTCGGGAGTCGGGAGTAACCCGGAGTTGTTGTCTGGAGTTGAGGGAGTGCCTGGTTTGGGGCTGTGGAAAACGGTGTCAGACCTACTGCACGGACATGACATTCTTTGCATGGATGGGCCTCGGGCGGGCTTTATGGCACTAATCTCCGGTGCGCAGACTGCCGTTACCGACTCGTGCTGCGCCAGAGTCTGCTGCGGTTGTGTGTTCAAGGGCCAGTTATCAGGACCAATATGCTGGTCGGCTGGGCTGCTGTGGAAGCTAAACTTTGTGGTAGCGAGATTCAGTCTAGCTCGGCAAGCCAGAGAAATGGCCCTATTTTAGGTCATATACTTGAAATGTGTAGGGCCGATTCGAAGATTATGAAGGTTTCATCCTTTCTTTTTAAATCATCTTTAAGGCCTTTTGAAGAAAAGGAACGCATGCTGGCACCTTCATAGTGTTTGAATGGCATGCTGTTTTTTTTTTTTGTTGACATACCAAACAATCTCCGCCTCGTCACGATGCCTGGCTGGGCAGGTGTGCCGGGGCCACGAACGTAGCGAGTGGGACCATCGCCGGGTGATGTGTCACTCCTGAGTTCGTCACTCATATCGCGAGTATTTACACCCCCGTACCGCCGCGAGTATTTACTCCCCCTCCCCCTGCTGCACCCCTCCCTCGCCGTCACCTGCCCCCGGACTTCCCGGCTCATACCTTATCCCGCGCCCGGCTGGGGGTCCTGGATTTCCACGCCCTGCTGGGGGGGGGGGTGTTTGAACACCCCCCCTTCTAACTCGGCTCCTGGGCCACGTAGCGATACGCAGAAGGCGGCGTTCGAAAGAGCGTCAAAAATAATGAGGAAATCACTTCGGTCAATTTTTTGGTCAGGTCAAAGGTCAGGTCACCAGAGGTCATTGAAGGCAAAATTTCGCCGATTTCCAGGTCGAATGTCGAAAATTTCCAAGAAGCCAACGCATAACTCGGGAACCAATAGAGCTACAGCGCCGCGGAAAAGCGCATTCGATAGCCCTATTAACGCCCTTTCTGAGTAATTCTCTCAGATTTGACCTAACGTCAACGGTTTTGCCTGCAGGGGGCAAAAACTGCAAAAATAGCCGATTTTTTCGTAAACAGTTTTTCTGCAATAACTTTTGACCCAAGCCTTGTACGAGCTTACTTTTACCGGCATCGTGTTCCTCTCGTCAAGACGCATCGAATGAACTATAACTTGACCTTGAAAGGTCAACTTGAAAATTTGACCTCAGGTCAAGGTCATGACCTGACCGGAAAGGGTCATGTTGCATATCAGTCGATCCGTATCGTCGAGCTGAACACATCTAAGGCGTTTTCATCGCTCTAGCATGCCTCTATCAAAAGTTATTTGCGAAAAACTGTTAGATGCCATTCGTGACCTAAGATGACCTCAGGGCATAAACAGGGGTCACGGACACCATTTCCATGTTCAGTGTGTCTAAACCACTTGTAATTCAGTGTTTGGGAGTGTTTATAATGTCTTTCGTCCAAAAGAGGCGCATTTCAATTTTCTCCCATTGACTTATAATGGGGAGGTCGCAAAATTGACCTGACCTTAGGTCATCGATATCAAAATTCTGAGATATACATTTTGTACATGCTATTGCTCTTAGCAATCGCTGAAAGTTTCAAAGCGATCGGTCACTCGGTGTAGCTATGACAGACATTGAAACTTTTTATGAGGTGAGGTCACTTCAAGTGACCTGGTGACCTGACCTTGAATGACCTTGGTCTGAAATTTTCACAACATGTGTAGAATTGATGTATGATAAGGTGTACCAAAAACGGCGGCGCTCCGCGCCGCCGTTTTTGAGATATTCGCGAAAAACCACAGGGGGGGGGTGTTCAAACACCCCCCCCCAGCAGGGCGCGGGTTATCGTACTGGTACCCCGGACGTTGACTCGGCCAAGGGTGGGGCGCGTCTCGCCACTTCATATCGGCGTTACTTTCCGCTTCCGCTCCCCCTCGGTGTCTCTGAGCCCCTCCCTCCCATACTCCGCTGTGTTCCCCCCCCCCCGGCTGTGTTTCCCAGCCCCTCCCCACACACACTCCGCGGGGATTCTCCTGTAGTCGCCGTCTGGCCATCCTCGTGGCGGCAGTGTGTAGGGCTGGGCACGCCAGTCGCGCCGGCCTCCTGGGCCATTGACGCGGGTATTGATCCGTATAATTGTGTCCCACACCTGGTGATTCGCGCCGGTCTCCGGATAGTCTTATGTGTCGAGCTGGCGATGTATATCCCGCTGCTAGTCGTGTGTCTGACTGTCCGTGTGTGTCCGTGTGTCCGACTGTCCGCGTGTATCCGAGTGATCGTGTTTGTCGGGCTGTCCGCGTGTCCGGCTGGTCGGCGAGCCGTGTATGTCTGCGTCTGTCTGGTGTCTTGTCCGGTGCCTTGTCCGGTGTCTTGTCCGGTGTCTTGTCTGGTGTCTTGACTGGTGTCTTGTCTGGTGTCTGTGCTGTGCCTGTCTGGCCGGTGCTGTCTGCCCGGTATCTGCCCTGCAGTACCTGCCCAGTTAAAGGTAGTGTGCCACCTTTGAAAGATTTCCTATTTTATTTTTCCTAGGATAAGAAGCTTCTGTTTTTACCTAATATCGCAAAAAAAAAAATCAAAAATGGGCCTGGAATAGTGCCTTTTTCGCTTAAAAGTTTATCGGTTTTTCGATATGTATAACAACTGTAGTGGGCTGAGCTGCAAACAGGCGTCGGCAACAATCGCGAATGCGGCGCACATGTGACAATAAGCAAAGGTCATTATAGAGTTACGACGTACGGGAAGGAGTTATCAGCTGTCTAATCGTAGACAACACAATGTCGAGCCTTAAACTGTAAGCCTGTATTGGTATTGTTTCTTTTATTTGGCTGTCGAACATTATTTGTGGTTTGAAATATGATTTTATGTAAAATAATTGATATGAAAAAGCCGTCTCTTAAGTTATGACCCCATTTCACCACACGCAAGTGGCAGAAATGACAATGATCAGCTGACGCATTTTTCTTGGCCGAAGTCAGAGCGCGCGGCCCGACGCACCACCACCGCACCACAAAGTATGGGCAGAAGCCGCGCCCAAAGCCAGGGCCCCGGTAACGTGAGGTAGCCGAGTCGGGGCAGCGTGCGCTGACCCAAGCCGGGGCCGCAGCTTTGGGCGCGGTCTACCGCATCCCCGCGGGCAGCCCCGGGCTATCACATGACACCGGGAGGACGCGCGGCCCCGGCTTGGGTCAGCGCACGCTGCCCCGACTCGGCTACCTCACGTTACCGGGGCCCTGGCTTTGGGCGCGGTCTACCGCACCACCTAACAGGCGTGTTCGAAACCGCAGGAGATGATGATGAACGGGTTTATCGAAACTTGATTGGATGAGCATATCGGTAATAGCGATTTCAGTGTGTGCATTTATTGTTCATAGTGGTGTGAAATGTGGTTGGGGTACGACCGACAACCCGTCGGGGCGAATTTCGCACTGGGGTACTCAAAATTTGAAGAATTTAAGACGTTTCCATGAGTTTTGAAGGTATGGATAAGTTCTAAAAATCCGGTTCTCCTTATCTGGGCCATTAACTCCATACGGTCCAGGAAAGCTGGCACACTACCTTTAACTGTGCCTTCCGGCTGTCTGTGCGACTATTCGTTATTTGTACAGTGTCTGTCGTATGTTGTCCATGTCTGTCCGACCGTCGATTTTGCAGGGAACGGCAGACACTGGCTAGTCTCGTACATTCTGTTGGCCTACAGACTGTATGCGGGCTGCGCTGCTGTGGGCCGATCGTATGTCAGTTGTTGATATTTATTGGCTTAGGGAACGTCGGTCGATTTTCGTATTCGGAATTGTTTCGCTGAATGGACTTTGAATTCTTAATTACCATGGGATGGCGTTATGGCATTGGAACATCAGTTCAATTATGCACGGTTGATTTGTGCGACCTACTCCAGTATGACTATTAACAAACCAGGAAGCGCGGTTGTCTGGGTGAAGTTGGTGGTCTTTCATTTGCAGGACTCTGACTGGGATCGATGCCAGGTGCTTGTTTGCATCAGTATTGCATTTTGCTGTTGCGGGCCTCATCCAGAACTCAGTGAAGGCCCTGCGCCGGCCCATCCTCTGACCGGATTACGGTATTATGCGGGCTGCGCGGCTCCGAATCGATCGTGGGAACTCGGACAGCCTGCCCCTCCCCTCCCACGCGATGGACGGGTGCCCCACTCGAACCCCGTCCGCGGGGCCCATGCGAGGCGCACGCGTCTTCCACGCCGGCGACGCTGACCGCCCACTCGCCGTCTGGGCGCGGTGGGCGGAGCCTGCGTGTGACGTCACGGTGGGTCGCGACGCGCCCCCGGGTCGATCGGAGGCCGCGTGCTGATTGGTCGATCGGAGCTCGGGCCACTAATCAGCTGAGCGGCGATCGATCCGCCGCCGGCGCACTAAGGGCGAGAATCGCCTGCGCCCGACCTCCGCAGCACACAGACGTGTCCGTGCCGCCGCCGCCGCCGCCCGTGCGTGTCCGTGACGCTGTGACGCGAGTTTCGCCCCCGTGACACCGGCAGGTCAGGTCAGGTCAGTGTCGGTGTTGATCGGACGTGCTGTGGTGTCTGGGGGTACATCTTGATCCCTCGACTGATATCTACTTACCTACGTCGGACGCCCTGCGGCAGAAGTACGTTGGTGGCTCCGTTTGTTTACCTATTGCTGTATCCAGGCGTG